ATACTGTGAGGGTTCACAGGACAACAGATATCTCGTTTTCTCTATGAAGATAAGTCTGACTACATAGTAAGTTATTCTATTAATTGCCGCCTTGAATCTTTGTTTGGTGACCAGACTTTGTTGATCACCCCTGAACGGCAAGGATATATAAGCATCCTTTTTGGGAGCTGATTGGATTTTATACAGCTCTTTGGTTGACACTTCCGTAACGCCTAATAAGTCTCAGTGGACAATTGTTATCTAACAATATTTTAGTGAGGTGTTGTGTTGTTTCTCCTTCGCTGTTATCGTCTGTACACATATATATATTGTCTGTTTCACTTGATCAATTCCTGTTCGTTGTCATATATATATATATATATATATATATATATATATATGTCATCGTAGTTTGAATTTTAATAAGCAAACCCTGTGCTTAGGTTTCGTACATAGTGATACTCGTCAGCATAGAGTATCCGCATCACCCCTGGAACTGATGCCACCCCAGAAATTCGAAATGGCATCACTCAGCACTGCAGTCAGAAACATTACCGTTGAGCTATTCGGTTTCACAGTTAACATTCTGCAGGACTCCTTATCGACCGATATATATATATATATATATATATATATATATATATATATATATATATATATATAATACTGTATATGGTATATAATGGAATGAAGATACGCCAGTTAAAACTCTGCCAGTTACTCTGAGCAACCAATCTCATATTGTCACATTCTTAGCTCTCATTGAATTTTACCAACAGTCGAGTTTCTGATTGCAACACTAAGTGACACTGATTCAACGGTCACACGAGATATCTGCTCCCCTTCAAGGCCAGTAACTACTCCTTACCAATGAGTGCTAATAATAATACTAATAACATGGAAGTCAGAGTTCACAATCTCCCTCCTGGAAATCGCCTCCGACTGTCAGACATCGAAATTATCCCTTCGATATAAAGGTTGATTGTTTGATTTTGTGGAATTTTCAAGTAGTACTTCAGTTCCTAGGTCTTTTTCAGATTCAGTATGATCATTTCCACGATAGGACAGATCTCTTTAAAATCTAGTAGAAGTATACGAACATATATAGCCTATTCAAGTGTTGGTTTGTAGGGATTTGATTGGTTTCAGGATTTCATCATGAGCTGACATTGGTTAGAGAACCATTGGAAAACCTGGGAGTACTGGACAGCTGTTTCGTCCTAGCTTGAGACTCTTCAGCAGTACGCACCCGCCGGGATTCGAAACCAGGACCTTCCGGTTACAAGGCGAGCTCGTATACCATTAAGCCACTGGGACCCGATCCAATGGTCCATGAATTCTAACTTCTGCCAATTCACGACATAGCGCGACCGCTAGCCAATGTCTTCGGCGAGTATTTGTCCTCACACCCGACCAGCTGCACCCTACTGGTCACGACTTCCCACCGGAACCCAGGTAACTACCTACCTGAATAGGGCCAGTCGCCAGTGAGCATCTCATTGGTATTCAAGTGTTGGTTTGTAGGGATTTGATTGGCTTGACATTGAACAGTCGTTTGAGCTGAATAAATTGGCAAAATCATTTATTTCGTTGACTGTTCATCAACTACTTGCAGCCTAAACATATAATTAAGGCAATCTATCAAATCAAAGGCCCCCAAAGAAAGCATAAAGAAAATCACCCTACCACATATATAAAGGACATCTCAGAAATCATTGCAAGACTCTTCAAAACTTTAGAAATTGACGTCTCACACAAATCAACAAAATCACTTCACTCAACTGGCTTTGTGTCAATCAAAAAGCTCAACAACGAAAGGAGATAAAACCAACAACTGTGAAAAACACTACACTGACCAAAGTGGAAGCCTGTACTCTCCGTCTTCGTATTCATGAAAATAAGCTAGCTGTCAGAAGACATGTCACCCACTTCCTCATATCGCCTCACTGCATACAGACAATCATGGACATCAATTCGACTGGGACAACGTTCAAATATTAGATAAAGAAAACACCAAGAATATCAGAGGATTTTTGGAAGCCTGTCTGGTATTCCAGTGAATCACCAATCAATAGACACATCAAGATAGACAAAATTTACCAACCGATAAGAAGAAGGAAGTCTCACTCACAAAGGGTCAAAGTTCAAGTCAAGAAAACAATCACTTCCAATATAAGTAACACACAAAAACAACCAATCACGTCAAAGTTCACCAGGAGAGATGATTAATAAACTCGCGGAGAAGTCTAAAAGCTCACTTTAAATTGAAGTATGTACTGAAATGAGGATGCTGCCTAGTGTTGGGGCAATGAAACCTTTGCAAGTATAAATCATCCAGCTCAGAGTACACAACCACATCGAAAATATTATTAAGTTTATGTACAGAAACAATTTTAGCATACTTGCCCAAAGAGTTCAAGTTTAACCAGAAAATTATTGTATGCATACAATGGTAATAATAGTAATCCCCTTATCCTCACGTTCAAACTCGAGAGAACAAATTTGAAGCATACAACCGACGAAACAACTTCTTATTGTCGATATTTCACAGATGACACGTTTGTAGTGTGCAACAATGAAAGTCATTCTTCTTACTTCTACTCGGATTATTCAACGACACACATACAAATATTGAACTTACTATGGAATATCAAAATGATGGGAAGTTTCATTTCTTCGACATCGCCTTGCAGCTCCTAGAAGATGGCAATCTCCAGAAATCAATTTACTGAAAGCCAACATGGAATAGACAAGCATTATTATTATTATTCCCCTGAGTTCCGACTGGAACAAAGGTGGGCTTCAACAACACATCTTTACATTGTTCTATCTTCTGGCATCCTCTTCAGCTGCCTGAGGCCACGGTTGCCTACGATGTCTCTTCTCCACCTCACACGATCTCTACCATGTCACCCTCGCATGGTCAACCCACTCGTCGCTTCCCATTTCGATCCACTTGAGGACCTGCTGCGAGGTGTCATTCAACAGTCTCCTCAAAGTAGGTCCGAACCATCTTCATTTTCTCCTACATATGTGTTGCGCGATCGGCTCCTGTTTCGTTTATTCATCGCCAGAGTTCCTTCGTTACTTATTCTTTCTGGCCATTTGATCTTGAGTATCAAGAGAAGGCAGAGAATGGACAATCCTTACATTTTAATAGTTACTGGCCAAACGATAACTAGTAAAAACTCTATCCTATAGAGTCAGCAGAATATACTCTAAAGATAAATTACAGGAAGAAATTCTGAGATCCTTGAAAAGATGTTGAAACACAGCAGTTATTCCCAGAGATTCATTTACAAGTACATTGATTTTTCTTTTTAAACTTGAAATTTCTGTGGGTTAGTATGTTAAAACTGTTTCTGTACATATTCAGCACAAACCAGTATTGCTCTTTTGGTTGATTCAAATTCATAAAGGGGAATAAATGTATAAATGATCGAGGCAGTCAGAAACGAACTCATTTCCGACCAAGGAGTCGAACTTAGAACGAAAGTTCCACCATTAGAGGACATAATGCTGGGAGCGTAGCTATGCCTGACTTCCACAGTATTTGAATTCCAGGAGAAAATATACAAGCGAACTAAGGGAGCTGTTATAGCGTCAACAGTATTCCCGATAGTGGCAGACATATTCATGGATAGGTGGGAAAACATAGCGATTGAAACGTTCAGCCCCACTCCCCGTCGAAGTATGGTGAAGGTATGTAGATAACACATTCATGGTACTTAGAACACAAGATATAGATAGATTTTTCGAACACGTTAACTGACTTATGAATTAGAAAGTCAGGAAGGGAAGCTTCCAATGTTAGATTGCAACGTAAAAAGGAAAAAAGGTAGGAAGTTAAAACACAGTAGTGTTTACAGGAAACCCACACATTCAAACAGATATTTGGATTTCAAATCACCCCATCCTATGTCAGTAAAAGTGGGATTGGTGAAATGTTTAAGTAATAGGGCAGTAAAACTAAATAGTACCAAGGAAAATCTAAGATAGGAAGTGATACATATAAGAGAAGCCTTGAAACTTAATAATTACCCTGATAAATTAATTAGAAAGTATATAGGGAAATGTAAAAATAATATAACAAATAATGATAATAGTGATAGTGATAATAATAAGGATGGTAATAGTGATATTATTGACGACATGCATGTTAAAATGCACAGGATAATGACAATACCGCAATACGGAATCTAAATCATTAGGAGTACTCCCATACAATAAAGGAACCTGGCTGAGAATTCTTAAAATTCCAGACAGGAATAAAAGTGGCTGGTATTCAAACACACAAACGCAATTAGAAACATGCGCTGTGGGTTCAGCGATCCTGTAGAGCCATTAAAACAAAACATTTTAGTTTATCTAATACCCTGTCTGCAATGATTGTCAGGTCAAATACATAGGTCAAACAAGTAGAACAGGGGCAGTCAGACTAGCCGAGCACAAAATCCCATCAAAATCTGGATTAGTTGACCCGAATAAGATAAGAAATCTAGAGAATAGTTCAGCTATAGCACTCACTACATGCAGTTACACACAACCGTACAAGAGGATGGGGTGGGATGACACTTTTAAAATCTAATGTCTGAGGGTATATATAGGGAGAGATTGATAACGGAAGCTTTGTTTATCAAACTAATTGAAGAGAGTACGTGTAATAGGAATGATTCAACACCTTTCCCAGATATATGGGAAATTCTACTACCCCTACGTCGACGAATAGGAGAAGACAAAGAAAACTATAAAACTCAAGTTTCGAAGTCGTGTGATTATAATTGGCGATATGATAATGAACAGTAATAAATTTTGTTTGAAACCTTGTCATCCAGTAAATAATAATACTGTTTCACTGACTGTGTGATATATCTAATAAAAAAACTAATATGGAGTTAATTTCTACCACAGTGCCCAAGTTTTACATACATATTAAATGATTAGTAATTTTTCTAAAGAATACCTACATATTGAATATTGATCAGTTCTTCTGTTTTGTTTTTTGTTTAAATCCCCCATAGCCTTTACAAATATACCAGCTTTAACAGCTGAAGTTGTTGATATGAAGTCATCAACACTTAGAACGAAATTCTATCCACTAATGTTACGTCTTCGAATTCATTTGAATTATACAAGCTATTGCCCAGTGAAATATGAATTTCACTCGAATATTTATAATGTTGAAGAAAAACCAACCGTAACTATTGCTCCAAATCCTGGTAGGATATTTAAGTACTATCTTCTTTCATAATTTCAATTTGTTGTTTATTTTGAATTCTTATTTAAATTTGTTTTGACAAAAACAAAACTAGCCTAGTTGCTAAAGTGTGGGAATGCTCGATGGAAATATTGTCTGATTTTACTTTAGCTACTGATAACATAAAAGTAGTCTAATGATCGAATGGTAAAAATAACCTTTAGATGTAGGGAAAAATAGACGGTAAAAACAGCGAATGACAATAGGGAGGAAGGCAAAAAACAATCACATTACCATACAAAGGTGGTACGTCAGAGGTAATTCGAAGAAACGTCAAAAATATGAGGATTCGTAGTAGTATAATTTACAAAATATCATGTGCTAGTGTCTGACTAAATATGTGGATTAAACGTCCAGACAACTCGAAATGACAGTGAATGGGCATAAACACCTGACTAAAGGTAACCCCACAGTAATACAAGCTTACTACAATTTAGAAGAAAAATCGTCTTTAGCTGCATATTGTATGGGACAAAATCCACAACATTGAAATGGGGCAGCCCATATATATTCTTGAATCTAATATGAACAAATGGAAAAAAGGAATAATGACATAGTCTACTTCATATGAACTGTGATCAAGTTGTGACCGAATAGTTTGCAAAATAATTGGGCGCCGATTGCGAAACTGACATTTTTAAAAATTTTATCTCAGTGAGATGAGATCACTGAATTAGATGACTAATTAATATAATCAAAATTCAATTACCAAGTGTATTCATCCGGAATAGCAGGATGTCACCTCCAACTGCGTTTATGAATTCACGTGCACATGCAGCAGCAAGTAAATTGGAAGGCAGGAAAGAAGGGCTTCTATCCGGTGGCTTTCTGAACATATTCCAAGAAACTTGTACCGGATAGAAAGCAGATATTCTCAGAGTACAATTACCAAACATATTGTTGATACCTGACATCTCGTAGAGATTTCTAAGTCCTTCAAAATATTAAATACACTACGATTTGCCAAAGCAATCGCAATCAAACGATTCAAACCAACCAGACTTATGCATGCAGAAAGAGAGTGTGATTAATCTCTCAATTCTTTGGTAACTGAATTTTGATTTTGATCAGTCATCTAATTCAGTGATCTCAACTCACTGAGCGAATCTCGATCTTATAAACTGTAACCGCTTTTGTTTTTTGAGCTGCTAGGTGAACCTACAAGCTAACACTGTTCCGTTAATTAATTTTTTTCTGTTTTCTGACTAACACCTCTCACTCTTTTCGACTTTGAAAGTGTATAAGTTGATGATGAAATCTTAAACTAAAAATTTTAATGCTTACATTTTGGATGCGTCAACTTTATAGTATTTCTTCTCTACTACCACTTAAACACTAAAGTATGTTATTATCATCATCTATATAACCATTGTAATTTCAGGTAGTGGTGTGTGCAGCTGATGAGGACCTGTGAAATAGAATGATCATATCATTTTATACTGTAAATCTTATCTTTCTTTATCTACCGAAACTTATCTTTTTGTGTGGCTTTAACACCCAGATCCAACTCTTTTTATGCATCGATTATTACTAATATTTATGAATATGATTACTCATCACTTTTTTGCTAACTATTCTCTTTTGTGAAGAAAGTTGCACACAAATGTGATTCTACAGCCACAGAAAATAAATTCACAAAAAAGAATCACTTCGTTGAACTACTTGGTTTGCCGTTTTCATTGATTTTTAAATGGGAATTATTCCTGATAAATATAGAACATGTGGTACTGCTAACGTCCAGTATATATACATTATACAGCATATATTACTAACAAGAATTATCAGTAGTATATAGATGCAGATTGATAGAAAGTAGCCAAAATTAAAAAAAGGAACATTTGAAGTCAGTGGTGCTACAAAAGTAGGAGGAAGCGTTTATTTCTCAAATCTGAATCTAACTTACATTGTGGTCAGGAAATTATCTCGAGGTTAAACACATTCAGGACATCAACAACCAATGAGAACACTTTATTATCTGCTGACCTAGCCGAACATAAATGTAGCTGAAAATGTATAAATTTGGTGTAATTTTTCGTTACCAAGTTTTTTGCCTTCTCCTGTTACACATCAATATATATATATATATATATGTATAATATGCAGAAGGTAGACTATTACTGACACACCTAACAGTCGCTTCGGAGACTTCCTAGCATCTGCTAGAATATCAAAAGACCTTAACTTCGATCGAAAATCTAAGACACCCTAGTTACTCTAGACGTTGTTGCATATAACTCAGAATTAAAACTACCGGTGATTATTTTTTTTACTCATGTTTGTGATTTTCCGTTTGATATATGTGATTGTATCGATCAATTACAATGTAGCCCACGTGGACAACTTGGAGAGATTATTGTTATTATTTATTATTGTATCCTTTAATTCCTAGAGGAACATAGGGCTTCAGATGCGCACCTCCGTTGCTATCTGTTTTCTGCCAACTTTTTCACCCCGCTCCAAGTCTGTCCACATGTTTTCATCTCCTCTTCACATGACCTCCTCCAAGTCACCCTTGCACTGACGACCAACTCGCCGCCTCTCTTTCGGGTTTCACTCGAGCAATGGCTTGTCTAGTGATGTCACTTGATGGTTTCCTCAGAGTATGGCCAATCCGTCTCCATTTTTTCCTGCCTATTTGTTTCACAGTTAGTTCCTGCTTGGTTGCTTCGCTCCCAGAGATCCCTGTTGCTGATCTTTTCTGGCTGGACATCTGATCTTGAGTATTGAGCAAAGGAAGCTGTTAATGAAGGTCTGTAGTTTGTTTGAGATGCTGTTTATGACGCACCAAGTCTCTGATCCGTATAGAGTATCACTGGCTGACTTCACATTAGAGTTGAAAATCTGGATCTTATTTCTCATCCTGAGGAGTACTGTTGACAACCACACAGACTTAAGAGTAGTGAAAGCTTGTTTTACTTTTCCTATTCTGGCTTTGATATCCTCATCAGTTCCATTGGCCTGTAGTTGAAACGATGATTCCTAGGTAGGTAAAGGAGGTTGTTTCTTTCAGGTTCCTCCCATTTATGCTGGCTGATTGTTGTCTGTTGTTGTTGTTGCTGTTGGTGTTGGCCAAGAATCTTCATCACCTCTGTTTTATCTATGTTCACTTAAATTCCTATCTTTGATGCTTCTTCTATCGCCAACTTGTCGCTTTTCACTTGCATATCTTCCAGTTTGTGGGAAATCAGACATATATCATCGGCGAAGTCCAGATCTTCCAAGTCTTTTGTGTGAGTCCATTTGATGCCCGTTCCCTCGTTGGTTGCAGTTGTCTGTCTCATTATCCAATTTACTGCAAGAAATGAATGAAAATGGAGAAATCTTCACCGACTTCTGCGCCTTCAACGAACTAGTGATTGGAGATGGTGCCTCTATTTTACCAGGAATAAGATCTGAAACATATCAACAACAACAAAAAGAACTTGTAACTAACGGCGATTGTGACTGTTCCGGAACTTTGGTGTTGTTGTTTTTTTCGACTTGAAAACTCTCAACTTAGTCAAACCATCAATCATTTCGACATTTATAAAAGATACATAAATAACACTTTCGTTATCTACGATAATAAGGTAATTAGTTCTTGATGATGTCTTGTTTGCTCTCAACAACTGCCATCCTATTTTACAATTCACCATAGAAAAGGAATCCGAACTAAGTATTCCGTTTCTTGATGTGTGCCTTAGCAGACGTAATGACGGATCTCTCAAAAGATTCATCCACCGGAAACGTTCATGGAACGGACAACTAACTAATTTTTACAGTTGGGTGTCTATTTCCAGGAAAAGGAACCTGATTCATTCCTTCTGCTTTCGGATAAGAAACATTTGTAGTTCTGATTGCGTTGACTCACAACTTGACTTCCTAAAAGCCACGCTCTCAGAAAATGGTCACCCGAACCGATTTATTGACAGTAACACGAAAGATAAGCAGTCTAAACTGGTCGCCTACTCAGTTACAAAGAAATCCTTATTCATGAAATTGGATATGCTCAAAAATCGTCTCTGTAAAGCAGTCAGTAAGACGTTCTTTGCAGCAAAATAGTAAATGATATTCATCAGCCGCAAGTTGTTTTCCATCTCTGTAAAAGATTAGCTCCCCGTCTGGCTGCCTTCATATGCATCTACCTGTTCACCTGCTCTTATGGAGCAAGGTACATTAGCCGTAACCAGAGAACGCCGCTTTCCACACGGATACGAGAACATATTCTAGCTGCATGGTTTCACAAGGGAGAAAGGAAGTGTGTGAGAAGCTCTATTCTAGAACACCTGATCGACTCCCGTCATTCTGGCGACCCTGACCATGATTTTAAGATCATCTACCGTATCCATACTAACTTCCCGCATTTTCTTCGTTACAGACTTCTAAGCCAGACCTTTGTGTACAAAAGAAGTATGTACAATCCCTACTTCTGCCTTGACCGTAGAGGGATAGACATTTATTTATTTTGTTTATTTAGTTATTCTATGTACTTTTCCTTATTACTGCTGTGGTGAGAACAGGCTGCTAGCCAATTGGTAGACATTAATTTACGTCATTGTCTAGGTCGCTAATATTGGCCGTGAGAAAATATGAACAAGACTGATTCAACAACCAATCACAGCAGACTTAACGTGGGCGAATACGATTCGCAGATATATGGCTTAACTTTTTGAGAAACCAGTCACAAGCAGTACAGAATAACCTTGGGCAAGAAACAACCAATCAGAAGACTGCGTTTGTCTGCTTGAATAAGCTATAATAATGTACATGAAATATATATAAATACGTGCTGATTTTCCTTAATAAACGATCTGTTGTCTGGCCCTTGTCTTCTGTTGTTACACTACGATTATTTTTATTTTCACTATTGTTATTACTGTTCTCACTCTGAATTGTTTCCGCTTGACCCACTTGTCATTTTAAATCCAAAATTATTATTTTATTTTTTATTTTTACGATATTTAATTTTATCTTATCAGATGTCACACTATGTTATGTAACATGTTATGTTCGCCTACTATTCCTATAATTATGCACCCCTTTCCAACATCTATACATCTTAGTATACAATTGGTGGATGGTGGCTAGCATCTTATATATTATGTATTATTCTATATATGACATTTATTGTTTTGCTACTTGACATTTAACTGTGATTATAATCACAAATGTTTTAATTACATTTCATACTACTATTATTATTTTGATGCAATCGTTTGTTTGCGCCAACAGACTTCATATCCAGTGGATTTGCAAGCCTTCTGTCCTAATCACTATTAGCAACAACAATGACACAATACAATACGACTGAACCCACGACGTAAGAAGACAGACTTTTGATGTAGACAGCCTTTATTGTCTCGAACCAAAAGTAAAAAGGGTGGACAGCCGTTGCGTGTATGTGTATATTCTTTAAATGGCCTTGAGAGACACTAGTTACATTGATAAATTAAAACAGCCAACAACCAATAGGGTTCCAAGGTCATAAGTGTGTGTGGGGGGATTACAAACAGCACTGTACTGCAAAGATAGATGTATTAGTTTAGAAAAATTAGGTCTATATAACAATAATGAATTGTTTTAATTCTGTTAACCAGTTGTGCTTTTATTAAAATCCAACGTGTTAATTGCTTTTCTATCTGTCCTTTGCTATTTTCCTTTTTGTGTCAAGCTTTATACTACTTAACACTAGTAAGTAGTTTGTTTGCTATTGAAGATTATTTCACTTAATGTACTAATACTCTATTCAGTGTGTAGTAATTATTTTCCTATAGCTAAACATTGTCTAGAGTAAACACTTTACTTACATACATTCCTCTGTTGAGCGTTGTTTATTCGGATCACTTTATCCTTTGTCTGGCATTCGTGCTCTGTTTAATCTATGCGTGGATCGACTTTGACACAGCTTTGTTATTTTTCCTTATTGAAAATTTTGAAATAATAATTTGAGCTTGAAATGAAAGTTAGGTGTGAATATAGATTACAAGAGCCTTAGAAATACAAAAATTCCACAGGATTAAGATATAATTGTAAAATAGTTATTTCAAACGAATTATAAATGTGAACAGGAAAAGCATGGGAACAAATTTAAAATAACTGTTTTTATAACTGAAAAGATGGAGTGAATCGAATAAAGACTGAGGGAGTAGGGATCAGACACACAGTGAACGAAAAAAAATGCTCAAAAAGAAAAGACAGAACGAAAATAAATGGAAAAACCGGAAGCAAAGGGAACATACCGAACTAGGTCCATGGTAGTTGTAGAGGTTGGACTACTAATTTCTTTTGAACACACAACTCCGGCTTCTCGATGCATATTGCGAGGGAAGTCGGAAACATACCGCTTTTGGTAGGTTTCTGTTGACTTTGTAAATCACTTTGAAAAAAATTAATTGAGATGTTGTCGGAGGTGTTGATCAGATGTTCAATAATGGCGCTTCTGACTGAACCAGCGCCTCCTCTTTGCAACCACGCTGGGTAATGTTCTCTAGTGTTCAATGAACCTCCTAACTTTCATTTCAAGCTCAAATTATTATTTCAAATTTTAAGTTATAAAAACAGTTATTTTAAGTTTATTTTTCTTGTTGACTCATAGTATGATTGTGAATTTGACGGCAAGCACCCGCAGACACTGGAAAATTTGTGTTTCGTATATTATAATTCAGTATTTTATGTATAATACATTGCCATATTCTAGACGAATTCTGCGTGTCTGGACTGTCACTGTACGTGTGGTTTAACCAATCTACCATAAAACAGGCTTAGCTAGCCTGAATCTAAGTGTTAAGTGTTAAGTGAGTAAGTAGTTTCTGATTCAATCAGAGAAGGGTGTCTTTTTCGTAAGCCTTCATTGGATTCTAATTGGAATATAGAGGGCTTCAAGAGCACACACCTCCATTCCATCCAAAAGTCAGACAACACTTTTAACTAGCTTCACTACAGTTCAGCAGCCTTCATTTCTTTTCCACATGATCTTATCCCTGTCACTCTTGGATCCATGACTAACTCGTAACTTCCTATTTTGGTACTACTTGAGAACCCCTGGCGTGTGACGTCACTTGAAGATTTCTTCAGAATAAATCCAATCCACCTTCATTTCCCTCTGCATATATGTTTGAGGAATAGGTTGTCGGCCGGTTCTCTGCCAATGTTCCTTGTAGAATATCTTTTCCATTCTGCCATCTAATTTTCACTATCATCAGAGTGGAGAAGTAGTTGATAAAAGTCCACAGTTGGTTGATGGATGATGCTTTTCTCGATGTACACACCAAGTATGTGAATTATATAGAAGTAGTGATTTTACTCTAGAAGATCTGGATTTCGTGTATGGATGATATATGTCTAATGTCATGTAAACTCAAAGACTTGCAAGCTGAAAAAGCGGGTCGAAGACTGGACTCCAAGTGAACAAAGAGAAGATGAAGGTGATGAGAATAACCAAAGAACAGCAGAACGGGAGATATTTAACAGAGGTTATTTCCTTCACTTATCTGGCTACGAAGCATCGTTTCAACTACAAGTACACAGATCGGCTGAAGATGTCCAAGTCAGGAGCGGAAAGGCCAAGATACGCCCATCATCAACCTGAAACCAGTTTGGAAATCTTCTCCACTCACTCAGTCAGCATAAGGAACAAGTTTCAGATTTTCAACACCAATATCCAATCGATCCTTCTATATGGAGTCCGAAATTTGCCCTGCGTGTCACTAACACAGGATTTCCAACAGCCCGTTGCAGACTTTTATCAACCAACAGCTGCCCCCCCCCCCTTCGATGGCTTCATATTGAAGATGAAATGGCTAACCGGCCAGAAAGAATTAGCAACAAGAAACTCTACAGTGGAACAAACCAACCAAGAACCGATCGCTCCACAAATATGTAGGCACACGCCATTGAGGAGACTGTCGAATGACAGCGCACACCAGGCCATTGTTTGAGTGGAATCCCAGGGGAAAGAGACGAGTGGGTTGTCAGTGTGAGGGTGACATGGAGGACATCGTGTGGTGGTGAGGAGGAGAGGAGAGATTGTGACCAGCCATGGCCCTAGCCAACTGAAGAGGACGGTAGAAAATACGACAAGGTGGAGATGTGTTGTTGAAGCCCACCTATATTCCATTCTTAACTCAAGGGAATAATAATAAATAATATTAACATTGACTTGATAATGGAAATTCACCTCTTATTCCCTGTCCACTGAGTGTTGTAAATTTTCATAATAATGTCATAGTTATGAATGCCTGTCTTGCATTATGGATCATCCTGGCTTTGGTATTCTTATCAATGTTTCTCGCCATCTATGGTTTGTTTTAAATGAACTAATTTGCTCTGTAATCTGATATATTTATAATTAATGAGTGATAAAGTACGCTCTGCTTTCTTCCATAAACCTTCTAAAGTGTAACTCATAAACACCTTAACTCTCTTAATTGATGGACAGTGACCAGCAGTACTGCAATCCAGGATAAAGCGCATTTCGTCCTATTTGAGATTGTCTCGTCATCTGGATGTACCTGCATTCCCCAGTGAGGCAGTGATGATGCGCATCCTGGATTCCACAATGCTAGTCACCACCTAAAAACTAACCGCTAATTATATGCCTAGACATTGTCGAAGCATCTGCACAAGGAGAAGCCGACAGACATGTCAACCTGAGATCGATCACTTCGGTCCAATCAATCAGTCAACCAAAAATTTCAATTAAACCTTAACTCTCTGTTGTTGTTGTTGTTCTTGTTCTTTTTTATTTTTCTTTGTAATAGAAGTATTTTTGACCAAAAATATTCAACGTGGTTTTTTATATCAAATACGTGGAAGAGTACGTTCATCAAATGAATCAGTTTATTCGCCAACATTACATGATGAAATGAATGTGTTTAAATTTAGTCAATGGACACCATTAACTTTAGTATTTGTCAATATATGTAAGTTGAATTGTACATTTAATCTATTCATAAAGATTAACGACTTCCTTTATTTATTTTTCTATTTACTACTGATTTGTAAAAAATTATATTTGTAAAGTCTCAGCGAAATTGAAATGATTAATTCCAACGTTTCCAGCGTTCGGTAATCTGGTCCGAACTTCTTCAGGGAAATTAATCGAAATTAACATAACAGCAGAGGTTTATATATAAAAAGAAACATCTCGTGTTTTAAAAAAACTTTGTCCAATCATGAGTCATAAAGCAAATATTAACAAGTATAGTAAACAAAAAGTTGTATGAGCCATGATCAAAATTTGACCTCGGACTTACAAATTATTGGTCTACATTTGTTAAACACTTTAAACAGAGTGTGCATGCACGTGTGGGTAAACAATTGTAAAACAGTTTCTTAATGTATCTATAAAAAGATATAGACAATCGGGAACTTTGACCAAGTATTATTAATTAGTGATACATATCCATTTTTATTTATTAATCAGGAATTCCTATGCATCAGCTAACAAGATCATACCTTCATGTCTGTTCAAACTGTTAGCATCTAGAATTGTATGATTAGACGTATTTTCAAAATTATGGTGTTTAGGATTAGAGTTTAATTGAAGCACCCTGTCGAACTTATTGCTTTGTCTTCTTTCTGAATATTGAGCTGCTTTATTCGACTTACTGGAGTTGTCAGTTGACTGGATAGCTACGGTTTTAGAATAGGCATTCTGTTGCAGACAACGGAGAGTGGAAACACGATGATTGTGCCAATTACATAGTTTCTTTGTTAATTTAATTCGATTGCAAAATAAATCAAATGAACTGTCGGCAAGATTTGACAGAATAGTTCTAAAATATTTGGGCGCCAAGTGAAAAGTAGACATTCGTAAAAAATTATATTTGTAAAATCTCATTGAGATTGAAATGAGTAATTCCAACGTTTTCTACATTCGGCGATCTGGTCCGAACTTCTTCAGGGAAATTAATCGAAATTAACATAACACCAGAGGTTTATATATAAAAGGAACATCTCTTGTTTTTACAAACTTTGTCCAATCATGATTTTTTAAAAATGTCTACTTCTCACTCGGCGCCCAAATATTTTAGAACTATTCTGTCAAATCTTGACTGATATAGGATAGATCAGGTTGGGGAAGACTTGTCTAGTGGGGGTCAAACCAAAACTTAGCTTCATCAGTCAATGAAATCCATAACAGTTAGTTTAAGCCGGCCAGCCAGCCAGCTAGCCACGTAGGAAAGGAGGTGTTGACTGCCTAACTGGCAGGTTGGAGTCGTCAGGCTGGTGAAAACCCCCTGATGACGGCTGGAGACAATGTGTGATTTGCCCGGAAACCCTCTTTGTCACTGACAGCGCAAATGTATTCCCACTATCTGTGATTTGTCACTCATATTGAATAAAACTCTATGGTTCTTCTTGTCTCTCTTTTGAATATCTCTTTATCCCCTTATCTTGCCTCGTGTGGTAAATAGAGAATAGTAACTCAAAGTGCTACACACTGTTCAGAGTCCTAAGTTGATGTGGGATGAGAGTCTCAGTGCAGAAATCACCACTCCCTAGATGTGTGTAGGTACATCCAGCTGACGAGTCTTGAATAGGGTCGAATGATCAGTGTGGATTCTGATACTAGCCACCACCAACCAAATTATGCCATCTTCCAAATTCTTATAACTCAACTCTCTGTATAGACTGAGCAGAGGAAACTGCCACTCATTGGCTGAATATACCTACGTTTCTGTTTTACACCACTACAGTAACATTACTTTGACACATCAGGACTGTTTTAAGTAGTTTCAGCAACATTTAACTGTCTTCTGTATGTGAGTGGCATATACTACTAACAAGAATTTGTAGGTAACATATTTGCTGTATGACGTCTTAACTCAATATAAAAGTATAAAATAAAAAAATATAAAGTAGAAAATGAATAATTTGCGCGCAAATTGGAGTTTCACTGAATAAAATTATTATACCAAGTTAGTAACACTGCAACCGGATACGTCTGTGTTCTTTGTTCTTCGTTGTACACTTCCCTATTCCCCATTACTATCACTGGCCGAAGTCGATCTCGTTAGATAACTAGTGTATGGTTATGATAGACGGACAGCTTTGTGGACAAGACGACGGCTTGGGAATTTTTTCACCCACTGGTGGTAACACAGAGAGCAGTATCTCAAATATGTTGAAATCGAGAATTCCACATTTATTCTAATCATTACACTACACCATATTGTTCATCTAGATAAGGCTGTTGCACGGAGTCTTATCAACAAATTATTTATTTATTTATTTATTGCATGGAGGATTTAATCATGAGTTGACATCAGTTAGAGAACCACTGGAAAACCTGGGAGTACTGAACAGCCGTTTCGTCCTAGTTTGGGACTCCTCATCAGTACGCACCCACCCATCTTCCATGCAATCAAACAAAATCCCTACAAAAACCAATACTTGAAAATTCATCTGATGCTCACTAGTGACTGGCCCTATTCAGGCAGTTAACCTGGGGTTCTAGTGGGAAGCCGTGACCAGTAGGGTACAGCAGGTCGAAGATGAGGCAGTAACTCATCGAAGAAGACATTGCGAAGTGGTCGCGCTATGTCGTGAATTGGCAGAAGTTAGAATTCAAGGACCATTGGATCGGGTCCCAGTGGCTCAATGGTCTACGAGCTCGCTAGCCTTGTAACCAGAAGGTCCTGGGTTCGAACCCCGTGGTGTGGGTGCGTACTGCTGAGGAGTCCCAAACTAGGACGAAACGGCTGTCCAGTACTCCCAGGTTTTCCAGTGGTTCTCTAACTGATGTCAGCTCATGATGAAATCCTCCATGCAATCAAACAAAATCCCTACAAGAACCAATACTTGATTATTTATTTATCCTTGTTCCCTTGGGTTATGAGTAGAATATACGGCTTGAATATCACGTCTCCACTTCGTCCTATTCTCTGCCGTCCTTTTTATCTGGCTCAATGATCACACATAATCTCTCATCTCCTCCTCGAACGATCTCCTTCATGTTCCTCTCTCACTAACATCCCAATCCGTCGCTTCCAGTTTGGTTTCCACTCGAGTGATGGCATGTATTGAATGTGATATCATTCGACGAGCTCCTCAGTAGCGTGTTCCCAATCTATCTCCCTCCATTTTCTCCTATACATTTATTGACTGATAGGTGTTCTTGGTTAGTTTGTTTGACTCTTTCTCACCGGCTAGCCATTTGATCATCAGTATGGAGCTAGGGAGAGCAGCTGTTGATAAACGTTTGTACTGAGCTGTCGGAAATATTTTTCATGACTCACGCACAGTGCAAGCTTTTGACCCATATAGAAGAACTGACTGACTGAATGACTGAATGACTTAACGACTTTGTGGAAAATCGAATTTTTTTTTGTTTTCTATGCTGAGACAGAGTGCAAAAGATTTCCCAAATAATTTCATAATGATGAAGGCGTATCTTACCTTTCGCATTCTGCGTTGGATATCTTAGTCTGTGCCTACACATACAGTTGATACGATGTTTCTTAGATAATTGAAGGGAGTAACCTCTGTTAAATCTCTCTCGTTGATGGTGATTGGTTCTGGTTGTTGTTCCGGTTACTGTTGGTTGGTTGGTTGGTTTGTTGGTTATCCTCATCACTTGGAATGCTGTCTGTCTTCGCTACACTGCCTCTTCTGCCAGTCTGTTAGTTTTCGAGTTTGTGTGACATTAGACATAAATCATCCATGTGCGAAATCCAGATTTTCTAGAGCCTCCTTCTTATTGGCGGTCTATCGTACTGCTGTCTACTCACTCCCCTTGTGGTGAGAGCAGGCTGCTAGCCGATTGGTTGGCACTAATCTACGTTAAGGTCTAGGTCACTAATATGGGCCGTGAACTAGGCTGAGTCAACAACCAATCACAGCAAAGTTAACGTGGCAAAATATGATTCGCAGATAGAGAACTCTGTTTGTCAAGGAATCCCGAAACAACCAATCAGAAGCCTGCGTTTGTCTACCTAAACAACCAATCAGATGACTGCGCTGGTCTATAATAATGTTGTCTGAAATATGTATAAATACGTGTTGATTTTCATAATAAAACGATCTGTTGCCTGGCCCTTGTCTTCTGTTGTTACACCCTAGTCTGATGCATGATTCAGTCCACCACAATTAAGGATATCATCGTCGATGATAATACGCGGTCAGCCTTCTCTTACTCCTGTATTCACTTCAAACGCATTAATAAAATTGCCATTGTGGATCACCTGACACGTTTCATTGTCATAGAGCAAACTGGTGAATGAGGGTGATGACGATCTGAGGCACTTCATGCCATAGTGTTATAGTAATTTCTAAAATACTTCGCCAGCAACACTGTCGAAAGCCTTTCCAAAGTCGATGAAGGAAGTTGAGGTAGATATTTGACTGCTATCCTATGCTTTGTTCTGTGTTGGTGGCGGTGCGTAGAGTTGTAATTTGACCAACAGGTAATTTTCCTTTCCTGAATCAAGTTTGTTCCGGAGCTCGGAGGCCTGCATCCAGGGCATCTTTGATTCTTTCCAGGATGACGCAGCTTAGTATTTTACTTGTCGTGAATAAGAGCATTATTCCACTCCACTTCTTTTAGATACGTAAATTAACATCATATATTTCTTCCCGTTTTTTGAGTGGTTTTTGCGGAATAAAGTGGTAACATCATCATTTATTTTGTTGGACACTCATCATCCGCTTGCAGCCTAAAGAAAATATTAAGTTTATGTACAGAAACAATTTTAACATCCTTGCCAAGAGAGTTCAAGTTTAAACAAAAAATCAATATATGCATACAGTGGCCTGCGAAATTTGGGCTACCGATATCCACGCTGAAAATTCCATACTTGTACCAAAAATACGGTGTGAAATCAGGCTGTAATGAAAAATTAAATTAAACAATGATAATCATACAGAGTGGAATTTTCGGCGTCACGCAGTCAAATGAAACAGAGAGTAAGGACATCCAGTGACCAGGGTAAGGAAAAACGAATAACCGCTCCTTTCTGAACACATAAATCAGGTTTCAGGCACTCGTTGAAGATTATTTTGACAAACTTAAAGAGAATTAAGATCTTTTTCCTATCGATAGTTTTGAAAGATCTTGTAACGTCCACTTCATAATCTGTGTCAAGAAGATGTCTAGTAATGGCACTATTGTAGGCGTTTGTCCGCTAGAGACATAAGTTTTTCAGTACATATTGAGAAAATTGAAGGTGTGCCCTTCACCTTTCTGTTCTCCCAATGTAACTGCTCCCTCAGATACAGGGAAATTTGTATATACAGTTGCAGTTAAAATGGGAAGGAGATCTGTCGATTTTTGATTTCAATATAGCTAAAATATTCATTCAGACATCTATAAAACACAAAATAATTGAGAAAAGAATATCCTTTTCGATAAATTCCTCTTCTGGCTGTACAATTCTATCTGTGTATGTTTATATACATAGAATATTCTAAATTAGTGGTCAATAACAATATTAGTGTTTCGTTTAAATAATATCGATTTGTTAAGTAACAACACAGTGGAATTACACTTTATTAAAGATGCCTCAATTATAACAATGATCATAAAAATATAGTAAATAGAATATCAACTAAAATTAAGGAAATTTCCAGGGCAAACTGAGGATCATTCAAACGTAGATGGCCAAGTTAAGGAAAATGTCTGGACTAGCTTCTTCCTTTGGACACATAAATTAGCCTTCTTAATATCGATCCCAACGGCCAGCCTCAGCAATATTTAGTAAACGATCTGTTGGTATGTGGTAAATGACCCTGAAAGCATAGTTAACATCAATCTTGTGTTCTGTATCCACAAGATGAGATAGAATAGCTCTACGAATAGATTTTGTTTGTCCTTCACTTAACCACTATGCAGGGTGATGTTCGGAAATCCGACGAGAAAAACGCCTAATTGTACGCCTATGCAACTAACTGGCTCACTCCACAGGAACAGTTAAACTGGTAGATGCACATGGATGCGGCGAAAGTAGGCAGTTTATCTTTTACCCCCGAACTCAAAAGAGGAGTGGTTTTGAAGACACACAGTGTAATTCGGCAGCAGGGAATTCTCTTTTTTTTACTGCGTTTTTGATTTCACCGAAGAACATGTGGTCACATAAACGAGAACCAACTTAGCTGCAGGATACGCTCTGGTTAGTGATGTATTCAATCTTCTTTTGAATACTGTTGCAATATTTTCACCTTTAAAATCAAATTGAATGAAGACCGACTGTTTTTCCGTCACATGAGATTTGTTTGATGTTTGAGCCTTCACATCTTCCATACTTACCAATCAACCTCTGAGGGTATCCGTTGTTTTTCGCCATCTTTTCGAGAATCAGAAATTCTTCCTTCCTTAATTTCTGTGTAGAGAATATTCGCCTGACTCTACAGGACAGAGTTTTTATTAGTGCTATTTGAACAATAGCTGTCAGTAAGGAGATACGATTATATCATTGTTCCTGGAGAATTCATACTAAAACCTGTGTGGTGAGGCCTGGCTGCTAGCCAAAGTTGGTAGACAGTAATTTACGTCAATGTTTATGTCCACAATATTGGTTTTGATGACCTGATATTCAAGAAACAGCCACAAAGAGATTGAAGATTAACTTTCAGTGAGAAACAACCAATCAGAGGACTGTGTTTGTTTGATCTATAATAATGTACATGAAAATCTATAAATATGTGTGTTGATTTCGTAAATAAACGATCTGTTGCCTGGCCATTGTCTTCTGTTGTTACACCTGCACTAAAGTGATTTTGTCCAGAAGGGAAATAACGAAAACTTGCCGACCAAATCAACCAGCTCAGACAGTGAACAGTCAAACTCATTCATCTATCTGAGCTACAATTCCTCGCTCCCCCCCTCAGTTATTTCATACTGTTTGTCCTATCTTTAGAACTTGAACCCAATACCACCAACTAGTGCTCTTCGTTTATCACTTACATTCATATTGATTTACCTTCTTGTCAGCTTTAAATGTGATAATTTCCCTTGTGTACTTTCTTTTCAGCGGAATATAATCTTGTGAATTTTACTGTTAACGCAAAACGACCCAGTGAAATACAAAGACGAGATGGTAGTTTCTACTATACTTGTCAACCAACATCTACTGACAGTAGAATGAACTACACGTCAACTCAAACACTGGAATACACTCATAGCCGTCTACATTCACAGCAGTTCAATAAAAGTGTACTATATAAAAATAGTTATTGTTTACAAATAGCTTGGAATATTTCTGGATCTCTACATGGTCTATTAGGCTTTGTTATTCAATTCTTTTTACCAGTTGGACAAAATCTTCAGGAATATCAACAATTAGATCATGATAGTGATAATGATGGTGGTCATGGTGTTGATGATGGTGATGACGAGTTGGATAGCCAGAGTGTCATGTCGGTTAAAGCTATCCGTAAGGATCAGTCAGCAGTTGGGCTACAAAAATGTGCACAATTTATTTGGTTACCGTGTTTTGAATGCTTAAAAAACTATTCACTTGTAAGTTCTTTACAATAACATAATAAATATACATTAATGACAGTAAAAGGAATAATTGTAAGCATGAGATGCTTTGATTGGACACTGGTTAGTAATTCGTGTATTGTGTGTCTTTAGTCCTTTGCAGTGCTGGTGCAAACCATGCCATACTAGGTGGCTAGCCATCACGATGCATTGCACTGTGAATTGTCTATATATATTAGTTAGTTGGAGGCAGTCGGCAAGTAGCCTTGGACCACCTAGGGTTCGTGCTAGCTGGCACTCATCAATCACTCAGCAAGGCGTAGATGTAACCACCTTGAAGGAACTCATGGTTTTTGTGGGACTCGAACCCGCGCCATCACCCAGTGCTGCAATCAGTCAGAGACGTTGCCATTGGATTATTCGGGCTCACGACTGACTGTATACTTGTATACTTCGATTAAACACTAGTTAGTAACGCCTTGTTGACTGATGAGTCCCAACTAGTGCGAAACCTAGGTTAGGTAGGGCTTTCTTCAACCATCTAATATCAAGTATGAGATGACATTAGTTGAAATGGAATCGAAAATCAAAAATACAGTCTTGCACCTGTTGAGAATATTCATACCTATCGAACTGACACGAAATCTCTTTGTTATAGTACTATGACCCAATGATTATGTGATACCATCTAGTGTCTTGAGAATTTATCAGGACTGTCCAGGTTCCTGGACATAGTTTGAAGCAATTACCTAATGTATTATTATCACTCGTGATGCTGTTCATTCTGATTTGTATATTTGTGAAACAACACATTACGTAATAAGTTAAAGAACCACTGGAAAACCTGGGAGTACTGGACAACTGTTTTGTCCTAGTTTAGGACTCTTCATCAGTACTCACCCACCCCACTGACAGGGTTTTAACCCAGGGCCTTCTGATTACAAGGCTAGCTGGCTAGTAGATCATTGAGCCATTGGGACCCGATCCAATGATCAGCCCATGAATTCTAACTTCTGCCAATTCAAGTCATAGCGCGACCACTCCGGATTGTCTTCTTCGATGAGTTACTGCCCCATCTTCAACCTGCTGTACGCTACTGGTCACGGCTTCCCACCAGAACCTCGGGTTAACTACCTGAATAGGGCCAGTCGCTAGTGAGTATCAGATTAACTTTCGAGTATTGGTTTAGTAGAGATTTTGTTTGACTGGATGGTGGATTTCATCATGAGCGAAATGGTCGTGCTATGTCGTGAATTGGCAGAAGTTAGAATTCATGGACTGGCCATTCATTGGATCGAGTCACAGTGGCTTAATGATCTACTAGCCAGCTCGCCTTGTAATCAGAAGGCCCTGGGTTTGAACCCTGACAGTGAGATGGGTGAGTACTGCTGAATAGACTCAGGCTAAGACGAAACAGCTGTCCAGTACTCCAATGGTTCTCTAACTGATGTCTGTGTTCATGATGAAATCCACCATCCAATCACAAAAAATCCCTACAAAGCCAATACTTGAACATTACGTAATAGTTAGCACGAGTCTTATTCTACTTACTCTTTTGTATGTTGAGTGCGGACTAAAATCTTGCTTTCTCTGTATTCGTCGTAATAAAGGGATTTTCAACCATACAGTTCGTCACTATCATCATTAACCGTGAATACTGTTAAAGCCTCTTTTCATATCCTGTTGAAAGATATTCCTCTTAAAAACAAATTCACACTAGCCATTTTTTGAATTTCTACCTGCTCTATGGTTCTGTTCGCTAATAGTATTATAATGCCCATCAGCCATGGGGGATGTTTGCTTTCTATTCTCAGACAACACATTCCAGGTGTAGTCGGCCCGGAAAATAGAGGGGGAGAGTGATGGTTGGGCGTTTAGCTGGCTAGCAACCCCTTCTCGTAAAAACAGTACTAACGCTAGTGGACCACTAGTGACAATTATTACACTTTTAAAAACCGGACTCTTTGAATACATGCCACTGAATTACTTTAAAGTGTTCAGGAAAGATTAGGGTTGTTGTCAGGGGTTAGAAGACCTATATAACTACATGCATAGAATGTGATTAAATTACTCCGTTCATATAAGAAAAGCACTTGTGCACTGTGGTGGTAGAGTATAACTCCATTGTGAGTAAAATTTATTCTGAAAAAGTCTCACTGTGTCCATATAGTAAGTAATATTTACTGATAACGACGTTTCGAGCACAGTTTATTGCTCAGTAAATATTACTGTATAAAACTATGAGACTTCATTAAAATAAATTTTACTCACAATGGAATTATACTTTGTCAATACTTCAGCCTATAACTGTGAGAGAAAGGTATCCTCTGTAACATTTTTATACAGCATTTATATAATTTTTTTCATAAATATATGTATTCCATACACAAAAATGTCTCTTTCACGAGAGTGGTGCGTTCGAGGTCATTCGCAAATTGGTGGTAGTTGGTGATGGTGCTTAAAGTTTAATTTTCCCCCTGTACATCACATTATTCCATATTAGTTGGTTTATTAGACGTATCACACATTGAAACAGTATTATTTACTGGATGATGTTTCAAAAACAATCTAGTATTGTTCATAATTATATCGCTAATTATGATCAAACAACTTCGAAACTTCACTTTTATAGTTTTATTTATCCTCTCCTATTCATCGTCATAGGGGTAGTAGAATTTTACAGATATCTGGCTGGACAGGTGTTGAATCATTCCTATTACACGTATTCTTTCCAGTTGATTCGATAAACAAAGCTTCTGTTATCAATCTCTCCCTCCATTCACCCTGTTACATTAGATTTTAAAACAACCGTCTGTCATCTTATGCCATTCCATACTATTGTATGGTTGTGTGTAACTGTATGTAGTGAATGCTATAGCTGAACTATTCTCTAGATTTCTTATCTTATTCGGGACAACTAATCTAGATTTCGCTGCTAGGTTTTTATGCTCGGCTAGTCTGACTGCCCCTGTTCTACTAGTTTGACCTATGTATTTGACCTGACAATCATTGCAGGTAGGGTATTAGATAAACTAAATTGTTTTGTTTAATTTGCTCCACAGGATCCCTATTTAACCGACAAAGCTTGTTTCTAATTGAGTTTGTGGTTTTGAATACCAGCCACTTTTATTCCTTCCTGCCTTGTTAAGAATTCTGCTTAAGGTAGTTTCCGAGGTTCCTTCTTTGTGTGGAATTACTACTGATGATTTAGATTCTTTATTGTTGGTGTTGTCTTGCGCATATTTGACATGCATGTCGCCATTAACATTATTATCACTATTATTATTATTATTATCATTATTAGTGTTATCATTATTATTATCACTATTACTATTATCATTATTTATTTGATTTTCACATTTCCCTACATACGTTCTAATTAATTTATCAGGATAATTATTAAGTTTCAAGGCTTCTCTTATATGCCTCACTTCCTGTCTTAGATTTTCCTTGGTACTACTTAGTTTTTCCGCTCTATTACTCAAACATTTCACCAATCCCACTCTTACTGACATAGGATGGGATGATCTGAAATCCAAATATCTGTTTGAATGTGTGGATTTCCTATAAACACGAGTGTTTAACTTCCCATCTTCCCACCTATCCATGAATATATCTCCCACAACCGGGGATATTGGTGACCCCATAGCAACTCCCTTAGTTTGTTTGTATATGTTCCCTCGGAATTTAAATACTGTGGAAGTCATGCATAGCTGTACTCCATGCATTATGTCCTCAAGTGCCACTTTTGTCCTGAGTTCGAGTTCTTGCTCAGGAATGCGTTCGTTTCTGTCTGCCTCTATAGCCATATTTATTGGTATACAAGTATATAAACTGACAATGTCAAAACTAACCATTTTCTGTTCATTATCTAATTTTAAATTATCTAATCTGTGTTTTAGTTCATAAGAATTTGTTAGTCTGGATTTCGAGTGGCTTTTAAGGGGGTTTGGTGCCATTGTTCGAAACGTCATCCAGTAAATAATACTGTTTCATTGACTGTGTGATATATCCATCTAATAAACAAACTAATATGGAATTACTTACAGTGCCCAAGTTTTACACATGTATTGATATAATTTTACATTATTGTTTTATCCTTTAATTCACCTAGAAAAATGCACATCCACGAGTTTTGGAAAAATTGAGAAAACTTATAGATGGATGTAAAGCTTATCAACCAATTGAAAGAAATAACAATGCTCTATGGAAAAACTCATTATCCAGCAATACAAACATCTCTACCGATTTATACAATGAAGTAATACATAATTCAAAGTATTTAGAAAAACAATTACAAATCCTGCAACTGCATGATTTCAATCGTATCATGTTAAATCAAACCGTGTACAGTTTTCAATATCATATTAGAAATCCATTGGTAATGCTGCCTGCTTTAACTATGAAATCAGCGTTTACACATAAGAAACGTGTTTTTCGATCAAACAGCCCGAATTTAATGTTGCTGCCAACTGATCCTAAACTAGTTGATACAAGTTCACAAAATACTGGATATGCAATTTTGTATTCTGTTACTGCAGACGATGTTATTTATAAAATAAAACACAAATGGCAGTTATACGGTACGTGTTTGTAATAATAATAATGTTAATATTCACGTTTTGGTTTGGAAGGATTTCATCATGAACTGTCATCGATTAGAGGACCATTGTAAAACATGCAGGAAGTACTGGACAGCTGTTTCATCAGCCTACTTTGGGACTCTCTCGGTGATTGTCTACAGCTGGAGAGTCCCAACCTAGGCTGACGAAACAGCTGTCCAATACTTCCTGCAGGTTTTTCAATGGTTCTCTAATCGACGTCAGTTTACGATGAGATTGAATAGTGTTAATATTCTCAATACTCTTCCGATTGATTATCTAGACGTCTTAGAAGCATTTCGCTTTTGAAACGATGAATTCTGTGTTTGGAAATATTATCACTCACTGAAGATGCCTATGAATCCAGTTGACGGGGCCCTGACAGGAAGAGACGCACGTTAAGAATTCCATTGTTAGCTGTCATAAACCAAATTTCAGTGCTTAGTCTAAATGAAACATAACAAGATTAGGAATCATCTTTCGCGTATAGGTAGAAAACTTGGGCACTGTGGTGGTAGAGTATAACTTCATTAAGGATAAGATTTTTTTCTGATAAGTCACACAGTATTACACAGTAATATTAACTGCTAACCATACAAAACCCGTGCTACGTATAGTATGCTAGAATTTTATCTTTAGCAGCTGCACGAACATAAATTCTAGTGAAGTTTTTTCTGGTTTCACCCGCAGAGATATAGAAGGAAAATGCTGTAAATAGGTGAAGAGGTTGTTAGGTATCAGACAAGATAACTGCAGATAACTGCTTGCAGCAGTGTCAATTGGTTGAGCAGAATACGTGAATTTACAAAGTGTGTGCGAAGAGGTTGAGTTATGCTAACAGTAAGCCTTAACTTCCTTATGTAATAGGTCAAACGACAAATGTTTTTTCTTCGACAAGATATGGGACGACCAACAGAGATTCGAAGAGAAACTGATGCCAAGATAAGAGATATTTGATTAATAAATATTGGTTTGTAGGGATTTTGTTTGATTGGTTACAGGATTGCATCATGAGCTGACATCAGTCAGAGAACCGTTGGGGAAATTAGCACTCCATTACCGGACAGCCAGTTGTTTCGTCATCCTACTGTGAGGCTTTTCATCAGTGAGCACCCACCGGGGTTCGAACTCATGGCCTTCAGGTTCTGTCAATGGCTTAATGGTCTAATCAAAAGGTGCTGGGCTCAAACCTCGGTGGATGCACACCGTGAAGAATCCTAAACTGAGACGAAACAGTTCTCCAATACTCCAGCGTTGGTTTTACACTGGTTCTCTGACTGATGTCAGCTCATAATGAAATCCTCCAACCTTCCCTATCATCACAGTGCCGTCAATATTACAGGAATCATGGGACCGAATCAGTCCACACAAATCTTTTTCGCACCTGAAACTAAATTCAGCGGTATGACATTTAGATGCATTCAATTTAAGACCATCTAGGTGGGACCATTCGTTAACTACAGATAAGATTCTATTCACATAAGAACAATCCAATGCAGAAACTCCTACTGGAACAGAAATGTTTAGATCATCGGCATTTTTAATTGAAGTTGGCTTTGGAAGAATATGAAAGGTCATGTGAAAAGAAAGAAAAATGCAAGTGAAGAGAGTACAGTATCTTGAGGCACACCGGTTTCCGCTAGCAACTAAATGGAGCGCTTTTCATTGAAAACAGTGTGCTGTTTTCTACCCGGAGAATAGGAAGATAGCCAGCCAGTCAGCCAGCCAATTTGTGACCCAGAATTCAGTACTTGTTAAAATCAGTCTGCTTAGTAAAAGTACCCTAGGAATAAAGTCAAAAGCAGTAGTGTAATCTATCTGAAAAAGAGGCTCGAACAACATTCGTGCCTATAGCAAGACTTGAAACAGTATTGTAGTGAAGTAAATTTTAACTAATAAGTTCGTAATATGTGTAATTTAACATTTTCAAGTAATACAACGTTTCTTTTATGTATATTTATCTTCTAGATAAAATTCCATCTCCAGGATTTACTGGGACAACTTTAGTATTTCTTATCCTTAGTGGTATCGTCTTAGTTCTCCTATGTTTTCTAATAGTAACATTTATCATTTTCAATAGAGGACGTTTGAAAAACAGACAACAATTTACTAAAACTGGAAGAGTTGACTACTATTGGTAAGATGGAGTGAATTTAATTTTTAAATGCTGAATTTTTTTTCCATGTCAGTAGCTTAATTCATTGTAAAATTGTCATCTAATGGTGTGAGCACTATACATTTATGTATGAGTGATATAAATGTATGTTTACTACATCCAGCCGTATGAACAGTAAAGAACAGTCAAATCACCCCTTGAATCAGTCAATCAGATCCATATATTTTTTTAAGATGTATCACACAGTTAAATAGTATTATTATTATCTACTGGATGACGTTTCGAGCAAAATTCATTACTGTTCATAATCATATCCATCAATTATGATCACACGACTTCGAAACCTAAGTTTTATAGTTTTATTTGTCCTCTCCTATTTGTCGTCGTAGGGGTAGTAGAACTTTACAGATGTTTGGGTGGACAGATGTTGAATCATTCCTATTACACGTATTCTCCTCAGTTGGTTCGATAAACAAAGATTCTGTTATCAATCTCTCCCTCCATTCACCCTGTTACATTAGATTTTAAACCCGTCTGTCATCTTATGACATTCCATACTATTGTATGGTTGTGTGTGACTGCATGTAGTGAGTGGTATAGCTGAAATATTCTTCAGATTTCTTATCTTATTCAGGTCAGCCAGTCTAGATTTTGCTGCTAGGTTTTTATGTTCGGCTAGTCTCACTGACTGCCCCTGTTCTACTAGTTTGACCTGTGTATTTGACCTGACAATCATTGCAGGTAGGGTATTAGATAAACTAAATTGTTTTGTTTAATTTGCTCCACAGGATCCCTATTTAACCGACAAAGCTTGTTTCTAATTGAGTTTGTGGTTTTGAATGCCAGCCACTTTTATTCCTGCCTTGTTAATAATTCTGCGTGAGGTGGTTTCCGAGGTTCCTTCCTTGTATGGAATTGCGCAAACACCTAGCGGGAAATTCTAGATTGGTTGACCCTAATAATAAGATCAGAAATCTAGAGAATAGTTCAGCTACAGATAGCACTACATGCAATTACACACAACCATACAAAAGGATGGAATGGCATAAGATGACAGACGGTTGTTTTAAAATCTAATGTAACAGGGTGAATGGAGGGAGAGATCGATAACGGAATCTTTGTTTATCGAACCAACTGAGGAGAATACGTGTAATAGGAATGATTCAACATCTGTCCACCCGGACATCTGTAAAATTCTACTACCCCTACGACGGCAAATAGGAGAGGACAAATAAAACTATAAAACTCAGGTTTCGAAGTCGTGTGATCATAATTGATGGATTGATTATGAACAGTAATGAATTTTGCTCGAAACGTCATCCAGTATATAATATATTTTCACTGACTGTGTGTGATATGTCTAATAAACAAATTAATACGGAATTACTTACTACTACAGTGCCCAAGTCTTACACATAAACCAATCAGATAGCTCTGCACTACGTTGACCATCAACCTACCTTAGTCCTACCCTAACTTGAATCCTGAATCAGTATGAAACTTGCAGAGGAGATTAAGAAAAGCGTCCATCCATTTGTAATGCTGAGCGATATGAATGGTTGGTTCAAGGTCATTTGACCGTGGAGCCTATTGTTTACTGTTACCTTCAGTTGTCTTGTCCCCCCATAAGCCATCTTATTTTCAAGATTTATTCCTGAATTTCATGTGTGAATATTCTTAAGTGTGGTAAAATTTGATATTCTACATATCTGATGATAGAATTTGAAAATGGTCAGTATAAAGGTCACTTCGATAACTCTACCTGGACCTCTGGTTTGACAACACACACACACACACGCACTGTCTCTCCCTGTCCGAATCCTTATATGCTCCACATTTTTCCATGAAACAAGACGATATTAAATATTCCTGTAATAACATTTAAAACAACACATTTAAGCGGACAGTATTGTGTTTTCAATTCGGTCTCATCAGACTTAACTCTAACATACAGAACTTTACAAATAAAAATTCAAATATAAACGAATCATGGTGAATTGTCTATAGGATAATAAGATCGTACGTATAAGTTTTTCAATTAGCCAATAATAGTAATAATGGTTTTATCAATGACAAGGATGAAAAAGTGAGGAGGTCCATGATAACAAGACTAACGAAAAACAGCATGATTAAACAAACAAGTGTGTTCAGGTAGATATAGTAGTCGATAAAGGCTAAGAAAAGCAAATGAACCGATTACGTAATGCTAGATTGCAAGGGAAGTAAATGAAACACGTTTATAATGAAGATGTGATAAGACTAAGGGATGATAAGAGAGGGGTTGAAAATATAAGTGAGGCATGGCGGTGATATCATCAGTCCGTTAGGTCTTATAAGACCAAAGGAGGCATAATAGCTGTACGAACTTCTTTTGAATGCATAGTTTAGGCCTAATAGTTCCAATGCCTATCGCCTCAGCTATGTACAGTCGACGAATACGAAGTCTATCGGAAAGATTTGGTGGGATGCGATGAATCACCTTGCATACTTTCATTTTCTCCACCAATTGAGATAAAACGGAGCTATGGATTGTTTTGTCTGTCCTTTACCAAATCACCATTGGAGATGTTCAGTAACACGTTCTCTAAACCGTCTAGTAGTACTCCCGACATAACTATCATCGCAGACGTAGTTGAACTGATAAATAAACATAAGTGTGTGTGTGTGTGTGTGTGTGTGTGTGTGTGTGTGGCAAAACTGTCTAGCTTATCCTTCGTTTGAGTCTCAGTCTTTCGTCGGTCATTAAACCACTAAACCTGCCAGTTCATTGGTTAACCCATGAATTCCAACTTCTACCAATTCACCATATAGCACTACTGGTACTATTGAATGGTTGGAGGCAATCGGCAGGAAGCCTTGCCTCACCTAGGTTTTGTGCTAGTTGGCACTCATCAGCAAGGCGCATCTGTGACTTTGAAGGAACTCATGTCCCTTCTGAGATTCGAACCGGCATCACCCAGTGCTGCAGTCAGAAACGTTACCACTGAGCTATTCAGGCTCGCGATTGACCTCCTGTAGGACTGTATTGGATATTTTTGATCTCACACTAGTCAGTAACTAGTGTTGTAATGTATCTAGTCCTATCTTCGGTGCAGACTGAATCCTCTCAGTCAAGCTTGCAATGTGGCCACTATGCCACTAGGTGGCTCGACATTACGGTGCACTGTGAGATGTTGATATTGTATGGTTGAAGGCAGTCTGCTGATAGAATTCAGTCTGCACCGAACATAGGACTAGACACATTACACTAGTTACTGACCCATTCAAGTATCACTTAAGGACCTGCAATGTAACTGCACTCACTGATCTCATTAGCTTATAAACAGTACATATTTGTTGAGTATTAAGCTGTTGAGTAGTTCGTTATCAGTGTTCCATTGGTGCTTATCCTTTGTTGTCTGTTATATGGTCTTCAATATCTAGCGAAAACGGCTTCATCTGTCGATGCGATGAAAATCTCCAATAGTCTGTTAGAAATGCTTTTGATAATGCGTACAACTGCACATTATTTCTCAATGGTGTAACAGAGAAGAGGACTCTTTATTGGTCAAACATACATTCAGTATGACTAGATTTCAATCTTGCACAATGAAGACAGTTAGCCTGCATCCAGGTGAACACTCTGAGTTGGAACAAAACAAACTTCATAGATTCCAATGCTCCCTGCTATCGACAAAACTGTCACATTTTTTAGATGGTTGAAGGCAATCAGCAGGAATCCTTGCCTCACCTAGATTTCGTGCTAGTTGGCACTCACCAGTCAGTCACAGCAAGGTGTATCTGTAACCAGTTCAAAGGAACTTATGTCCCTACTGAGAATCGAACCCACGTCACCCAATGGCGCATGCAATCAGAGATGTTACCACCACTGAGCTATTCGAACTCGTGTCTGACCTTCTGTAGGACTGTAGTGAATACTTTGATTGATGGTGCGTTGGTGGCACAGTGGTTAGGACTCTCGCCGACCATGCGCACATGGTCCAAGGTTCGATCCCCTGCCGACGCACACTTGATATCTATGGTCGGCATGATAAATTTGGGCTACCGATATCACATGCTGAAAATTCCATACCTGTACCGAAAAATACGGTGTAGAATCAAGCTGCAATAAAAAAAAACACTAGTTACTAGTGTCCGATCAAAGAATTACATTTTGTTGCATAACAGAATAGTTGTAATTTTTATACACATTACAATATAAAGCTTTTTTTTCCTAAATTTAGTGAAGATGAAGACGACGAAGCTGGATATGAATTACGTGAGGAATATAAAGTGCCTATCATTCCCTTGAAAATTTCAAAGTGAGTAACACTCCCCACCCCCTTGATTGTTTCACACACTATTTTCCTAAATGCTTAAAGTTTTCAAGTATTGGTTTGTAGAGATTTGATTTGACTGGTCACAGGATTTCATCATGAGCTGACATTGGTTAGAGAATCATCGGCAAACTAGCTGGAGTACTAGACAGCTGTTTCGTCCTAGGTAGTTAGTTACCTGGGGTTCTAGTGAGAAGTCGTGACCATTAGGGTGCAGCAGGCCGGGGGAGTGAGGACAAATAATCGCCGAAGACATTGGCTAGTGGTCCCGCTTAATGGTCTACGAGCTCGCCTTGTAACCGGAAGGTCCTGGGTGGGTGCTTACTGCTGAAGAGTCCCAAGCTAGGACGAAACTGCCTAATTTTTGTTTTGTTTTCTTATTCAAGCCTTTCGGAGCCTAACTAGTAGTGTAACAACAGAAGACAAGGGCCAGGCAACAGATCGTTTTATTATGAAAATCAACACGTATTTATACATCTTTCAACTACATTATTATAGACAAGCGCAGTCATCTGATTGGTTGTTTAGGTAGACAAACGCAGGCTTCTGATTGGTTGTTTCGGGATTCCTTGACAAATAGAGTTCTCTCTGCGAATCATATTCTGCCACGTTAACTTTGCTGTGATTGGTTGTTGACTCAGGCTTGTTCATATTTTCTCACGACCCATATTAGTGACCTAGACCTTAACGTAGATTAGTGCCAACCAATCGGCTAGCAGCCTGCTCTCACCACAGTAGTAGACCAGAAGATTTAAATAATGAAATCAAATAATCGAAGAAAGTTTTACCAGTAAATAACAAACTACCCACCAGGATTTATTTAGAAATGTATGAGAAACCATAAGAGAAATAAGATTAGTAATAAAAATGATAAAACATCAAGAAATACTATGGGATTCAAAGCCTTTTTAGCGCTGCCGTATAAAGAATGAATGTAAGAGTTAAGCTTTGTCGACTTAAGGGTTCACCTGATAGATCCGGTTAGGAAAACAATAATGTAATTTGCCGAATACCATGTTAAGACTATGAGTGAGGTCAATTACATAGACCAGTCAAACTAGTAGACTGTTGAAACTTCAAACTTATGCTAGATCCAGAATGACTGACCCTGCCAAGTTGAATAACTTAGAAAAAATAGAGCTCAGCCATTGCAGTGGATTCACTTACATGTAATCTCAGATTAGGATGGGTGGGACAGGGTGAGATTATTAAAAAGTAGTATAGTTAGGCGGAGAGAGAGAGGGAGAGGTTAGTCATTGAAGCTTTGTTTATCGATTCAACACCACATAGAATGATGCGTGATACCTATGCCGGAGACATGGAAGGTGGCAACGAACAACAAGGGGAAGTTGGAAACAGAGAGAGAGAAAGAGAGAAAATATTATTATGAATTGTGAAACCGTGTGAATAAAAATCGATATGATTACGACTAGCAATAATTTATGCTTGAAACTGAAGTTTTGGACTCTTCAGCAGTACGCACCCACCAAGGTTTGAACCCAGGACCTTCTGGTTACAATGCGAGCTCACTGACCATTAAGCCACTAGGACCCGCCAATCCAACGAACAGTCCATGAATTCTAACTTTTGCCAATTCACGACGTAGCGCGACCGCTAGCCAATGTCTTCGACGAGTATTTGTTCTCAAACTCCATCTGCTGCACCCTACTGGTCACGACTTCTCACTAGAACCCCAGGTAACTACCCACCTGAATAGGTCCAGTCTCCAGTGAGCATCTCACTGATTTTCAAGTATTCAAGATGCTTGAATCGTTATACACTTGTTAATACTGTACCACCACTGTGTAATATATCGAATAAACTTATCTATTCGGGGTTTGATACAACTTGAGCTTCCATGCTCCGTTCTTTTGTTCCTTTATGTTTCGAGTGACGTTCAGGCTTTGGAGTTTTTCAACAGTCATGGTGGTGTTATTTTCATGAGGTGGAGCTGTTAACCTCATACCAAACCTTCCCGGTTTTCCGGGGTCATTAGGGGGTTTGTAAACCAGTCGACGCTTAAGTGTACCCCGTTCGGTGATCGAACCCGACTCTCTCTTATGACCGATGAACATTTCACTGCTGAATGACTGCGTTTGAATGAAGTTCAGATGAAAGTACAAGTTGACGGTATAAGACATAGCGTAATGCCTGGCTATTCAAATGCACAACAGCATCAATGTTTCGAAATTTTAGTCCATTCATAATTATATGCATCTGAATGGTTTATTGTTGTGTCTTTTATAGGGTCAGGCTAAAGTGAGACATTTTTTCTGTCCTCCGTGTGTTTGGAGTGAAACATAGAGTTTCATTCATTGAAGTCTTTTTATGAAATTCGGGTTGTCAGCTCTAGCCCAACATTCCCCTTTTTTTTGACTTACCAGTGTGTTATCCAGGAATAGAACCTGTATCATATACATTGTTGGCGACCATTCTACCACCAAGTCACCAACTGCTTTACTTAAATGGAAACAATTGTTCATGAAAAAGCCACTTTATATACGACTACAGTTCAAGGGCGATATACCAAGTGAGATAATTACGAGGAAATTAAGAAAATCAGTTCAAAGAACTTTTAATGCTGGCGAACTGCACGTCTCATTCTCTACACGACCGATGGTGCTATCTCGACTGAAGGATGAAGTACCTAGACTAGCCAGCCATTTCCAGTTGTATCTACCAATTCAACTGCGCTTGTAGTGGAGCGAATTATTTCGGCTGTCGCGCTAGGAACTTGATTTTTCGTGCTCTAGAACATCTCCTAGTATGGCTAAGTAGAAGTTTAGTGAAAATCATTAACAGTTCGATATTGGACTATCTGATGCAAACCGTTCACAAAGCCAGCCAGTGTGGAAGAATCCGTCTCTGTCATCATCTACCGGGTGCCTAATAAATTGCCAAAATCATCATCGAAGCACCGCATGCTCCGAACAGCAGAGGCTATTGCGATTCGCCTCAAACAACGAGTGCTCTGTGTTCAAAAGAAGCATGTCCAGCTAGCCACTACTACTGCCCTGGCCGGTCTTCAGTAGAGACTATAAATTTATGAATTTGTAATATTATCTTTCCTAATTTTTCTGACATTCAGCTTATTTTATGTTGATGCTATTGAGCTGTAATCTATCAATATTATTGGTCCGTTGTTATTTAAACAACATTAATGTTATTCATAACACTAATTCATTCATTCACTATAATGGATGGATATATAACTGTAGAACCTGATGAAGAAGGGGTTATCGAAAAGAGTACTCTCTGTTCAGTATCCATTGTATGGTTGTGGTGTGTAATTGCACGTAGTGCTACCATTGAGTGACTGACAAGTGAAACTTTATTTTTGTTAAATTAACTGAGAAAATATGCAATAGGAATATTTCAACATCTCTGAACATCTGGAAAATTCTACCCCCCCCCCCCCCCACCCCGATGACTATAGCGAAAGAAGAATGAGTAATATAAACATCGCATTTCGTAATTGTTCATAAATATTTATAAATAATCAATTGTGTTCGAAACGTAGTCATCCAGTGCATAATACCATTTCACAATGTGTGATATACCCAGTAAACAAATTAAAATGCGGAATCCCTTATTACCACAATGTTGAAGTTTAACGCATATATTTCCTGTAGTAATTTGGTGAGTGATGGGCTCTTCCTACTGAGGCTCGAACCCAGTACCCATCGTTTCAAACGCCAAAGTGGGTTATACACTAGGACACCAATAGGTCTTGTGAAAGGCGTATGAGTGATTATTTAATTCACTTTGAACTTTCCAGCAAATTAAATTTTGCAGACATCGTCGAACCATGTGCACAAGAGGCCGACTTGTCAGTCTGAGGTAGAGCACTTCGGTCAATAATATATTCAGTAATGTATGTCTTGATGAGGAATTGAATAATATTAAACGGTCGCTCAGTGAAAATGGTTATCCAGAGAAGTTCATTGATAAGAATATGAATCTAAAATCAAAGCAGTCCAAAGTACCAACAGTTCCGAAAAAGGAAGGCCTTATTCTTACAAATTCAGTTCCTCGGGGACAACGTCAGCGAGATAGTAACACAACGCCTTAGGAATGCGATAAAAAGAGCATTCCCTTCTGCCGAATTACGCTGTGTCTTCAATACCCCCCCCATATTTTACGTTCGGCAGTAAAAGACAAACTGCCTAATTTCGCCTCTTCCATGTGTATCAACCAATTTAACTGCTCCTGTTGAGCCAGTTAGTTTCATAGGCCGTACAATTAGGCGTGTTTCTTGTCGGATTTCTGAACACCATCCTGCATAGTGGTTAAGTAAAGGACAAACAAAATCTTTTCATAGCGCTATTCTATCTCGTCTTGTGGATACAGAACACAAGGTTGATTTTAACGAGGCCGCTTGCAAAGTCATTTACCGCATACTAAGCAATCTTAACCTCGCCTTACGAGTGCGTTTACCAAATATTGCTGAGGCCAGCTGTTGGGATCCACATTAAGAAGGCTAATTTATGTGTCCAAAGGAAGAAGCTAGTTCAGACAGTGTCCTTACCGCGGCCATCTAGGTACGAATGATGCTCAGTTTGCTCTGGAAATTTTCTTAATTTTAGTTGATATTCCATTTGTTATTGTATTATTATTATTATTATAATTTAAGGATCTTTAATGAACTGTGGTAATTCCATTGTGATCTTACTTTACAAATCGATATTATTTTAAAAACACTAATATTGTAATTGACTACTATTCTAGAATATTCTATGTATATAAAGACATACATATATATATAATTGTAGAGCCAGAAGAAGAAATTATTGAAAAAATTATTCTTTTCTCAATTATTTTGTGTTTTATATTTTCTGTGTTTGATAAACCTATTGTTATTTGAAATTTGTAGGTTTTGTAAAGTTATCTTATTATTTTGATGATGTAACCTTGACAACTACTTTTCATCATTTTGTAGACAACCAGATGCGATTTATGTACATGACTTTGTAAATTTATTCGGGGATTGCTCTACATCACAAAAGACGAAATTACGTGAAGAATTTAAAGTAAGCGAAAATGGCTAACCACTTTGTTTTAACAAGTAACTATTTTATAGTAATAATAATAATTTAATCAATTAGTCCCTTTGGAATTTAATTGCAGGATGGTGACTAGCAGTGGAATCCAGAATGCGCATTTCATCCTATTTGAAACTCGCCATCTGGATGTACCTGCATTCCCCAGTGAGTGATGATGCTCCCACCAAGGCTCGAACTCAGTGCCCATAGTTTCAAACTCCAAGGCGTCATCCACTAGACACAAGAGATGGCTTTTGTGGCTCAAGTGGTTAAGTGGATAATGCTTTTGCATTTGAAAATATGGTCAATGGGTTCAAACCTCCGTGGGAGCTTTATCACTCACTGGGGAATGCAGGTACATCCAGTGACAGACGAGTCGCAAATAGGTCGAAATGCACATCCTGGATTCCACTACCAGTCACCATCCAGAAATTAAATTCTATTTACATGCTCAGACATCGCCGAAACATCTGCACAAGAAGCCAACATGTCAACCTGCGACCAAGCACTTCGGACCAATCAATAGACGGGAAAATCTAAAAAATAAATAAATTTGAATAAGGCATGTAGAAGACAGATTTCGTAAGATGATATCTTCATTTCGTAGTTTCTTTACAACCGCTTTACAACTGACATGGTTTACAACAATAAAATTTTTTTTAAAAGCATGACAATTACTCAGTTATATAAAAACAAAAGTACAAACTAATGACCAGTCATATTTTTAAATAGTCCAAGTAATCCATGATAGGCGAAGGCTAATGGTTATCCAGAAAACTTTATCAATTGCCAAAGTAAGGATAGACCACATTCAGAAAAGACACCTTCTGTACCAAAGAAGGCTATCTTTATTAACCTATCATTCAAGAGTGACCGGATTATTCAGTTGACAGCTCAAAGACTTCGATCAGCCGTTAAGCGCACATTCTACGCTGCATCTCTTTCCCTCACATGCCGAACATTTTCGAACCGTGTGTACCTACGATTAAAGGACGAAATTCTGTGGATTCTACTTCAAACTGTTTCTACAAGTTCACCTGTAACTGTGGTGACACCTGTATAGGTGTAGAACCAATAGAATGTTCCAATATCATCGAAAAGAACATGTTCCAAAATGATTAACAAAACATATAGAAAATCCCAATGCGATTAATCAGAATAGAAATCCAGCTTCATCCATTGCAAAGCACTTATTAATATCAAGTCAAAAAATCAATATGAATGACTGTTTCACAATTATTTCACCACATAACTCTAATTCAAGGTTGGTTGGTTACTGAAGGTGATGGAAGCACTTTGGATTAATCAGATACATCCTAAACTATGTGTACAGTGAAAACAACAGACATCAACATTCGCCTACCATGAACTGACTACTTGACTTATTCAAAAATATGATTGGTCATTAATATGTACTTCTGTTTTTTTTATATAACTGAGTAATTGTCATGCGTTTTAAAAAAAAATTTTGTTATTGTTACCTATGTTAATTGTAAAGCGGTTTTAAAGAAACTACGAAATGACGATATCATCCCGCGAAATTTGTCTTCTAAATGCCTTATTGAAATGATAATAATAATAATTTTTATTTGTCTACGAATAAAAGTCACAATAAAATGTAGAATACTGCTTCACTTATAGTATTTCTGCAATCCTCTGGTAACCAGCACATGATTAAGCAACGATCAACATTGTTGTTCCCGCCAAATGGAGACCAGTTCGATTTAAACAAACCATTCATTGTTCATAGAGTTTGTTGAAAGTTCATGAAAGTTTCATGAAAATATTCATTGTTCAACATAATTGACAATAATACTGAAATTAAAATTAAGAATAAGGTTAAAACAAATCCAACACACAGATGCATATATTAGTTTGAAAACATTCAGATATGTGGTAATATGAACCCTAATTCCATTAGAAATTTGATATTCTGTCTATTTGATGGTAGTGTAATGTAAATTCGTTAAAAATACCTAATTATAATCTTTAGTACAACTTCGGAAAAGGTTGTTATATAGACTAATGCTAACCATTACAACACTATTTTATCTGCAGTCGATGGACTGGTGAACTCCTTCTACTCCTTTTCTATTGAATTATTTGATTTTCTCAAGTGAGCGAAGACCAATAATTCAGTGACGAGTCTCTTTACGGCGGCGAATTCATTTTCACAGTGGTACAATTGCAAATATATATGTACATATATATGTAGTTATTTTGTATGTGTGTACATTAAATTTGTCAAACGAAAATACAATTAGTAAGTTTTTGGTGGAGTTACATAATACAAAAAAGCGTTCAGAGGAATAGGATGTTGATATAAGAGGGTTGTAACAAAAGTGATGAGTTGTCACAAATGACTGTTAAAGAAGAGTTACATAATAACACGAATAGTTTGATGAAAGAGTTGTGCTCAAGGTGTACATGGAAACAAAATAAAATATGGGATTATGCAAGAGTTTTAAACAGTTAGAAAAATAAGCATACAAACAAAAGTTAAGTCAAACAAACACGGTTGTTACCATGATAGTAGTGTAACAACAGAAGACAAGGGCCAGGCAACAGATCGTTTTATTATGAAAATCAACACGTATTTATACATATTTCACATACATTATTATAGCTTATGCAAGTAGACAAGCACAGTCATCTGATTGGTTGTTTATCAGAAGTTAGGCAGACAAACGCAGGCTTCTGATTGGTTGTTTCGGGATTCCTCGACAAATAGAGTTCTCTATCTGCGAATCATATTTTGCCACGTTAACTTTGCTGTGATTGGTTGTTGAATCAGCCTTGCTCATATTTTCTCAGGGCCTGCTCTCACCACAGTAGAAGTGGTTGAATAATTCTCTTTTGTATGCATAGTTCTGGTTCTTCAAACTGAATGGCTAGGGCTTCTGCAATGCAAAGAAGACGGAAACGTATTGTCTTTGGTAGGTTTTTTCTTCACTTTGTAGACTACTTTGAAGGAGGAGGCATTTGTTGAAATGGAATAACCAGTGGTGACGAGATGTTCGATTATTGCACTGATTATACGGCCACTACTTCCTTTCTGTAGCCACTCTGGATAGTGTTCTTTGATCCTTTTTGACAGGATGTGCGTTGAACGACCGATTTACCTGACTGGCTTCACAGCAATAGGTGAACTGATATATACAAATAGAAGTGGTCAGGAGCAAGATCTTGTCCTTCGGACTTCTGCAGATCAGTGGGCCACTAGAGAACACTACTCTCAATGTTGCCGCAAAGAAAGTTCTTCTTAAAGCGGTGGAAATTCTCCTCCTAACGAACAACCTATCAAAGAAAATACGTTTCCGTCTTCTTCGCATTGCAGAAGCCCTAGCCATTCAATTTGAAGAAACAAAACTATGCATACAAAAGAGAATTATTCAACCACTTCTACTATCATGGTAACAACCCTGTTTGTTTGACTTAACTTTTGTTTGTATGCTTATTTTTCTAACTGTTTAAAACTCTTGCATAATCCCATATTTTATTTTGTTTCCATGTACACCTCAGTGGTAACGAGGTGTTCGATTTCGTTGTGAATTAACTATGATCAGTTATTAGCCGGATAGTTTAATAGGCAGGTTGTCGATACGGCTTCACTATTAGCTGCTTAAACCCGAGAAATTCATATTGACTAACATACTATCTTTGATTCTTTGGTTGGACACTAGTTAGTAACTAGTGTAATTTGTGTATGGTTCTTTCATCTAGCTAGAAAAGACTAGCTGTCTTTGATCATAGGTGCCTGCGCTCTATTTCCCGTGTAAAGTGGCATAATAAGGTGAGCAACATTGAGGTTAGGCGTCGAGTTCTAGGTAAACAGGGGAAATCAATCGACGAAGTCGTGAAGCTACAAAGACTGAGATGGTTAGGACATGTGTTACGTATGCCAAGCCATCGCCTCCCTCGACGAGCAATGTTTGCGGATATAGGGTCAGGCTGGAAAAAAGCTAGCGGCGGTCAAACAAAAACTTGTCACCAGTCAATGAAATCCACAACAGTTGGTCTAAGCCACGTAGGAAGGTTTAGACTTCCAGGCTGGGGTCCTCGGGACGGTAAAAATCTATGGTTGGAAACAATTGGTGACATGGCTCAAAGTGATCATTCTCAGTGGCGCAGATGCATCCACTCCTTGTGACTTATGATCTCCAATGAAACTGTTTTGTTTTTATTTATTACTCCTTTGTCTCACACCTCTGCTCACTGTTTCTATTATGCTTTTCTTGTACTTTCTTCTCTTGCTTCGCGTGCTACACGGAGTGTGGCGACTTGAACTTCCGCACATTTGTGCAAAGTTCTATGTCGAAAACAGACAGACAGATAGACAGTGCAGATTGAATTCTATTAGTCAAGTCTGTAATGTGGCCACCATGCCATTAGAAGGCTCTTCATCACGATTCACTCAGAATTCTCGTTATCAGCGTGGTGGCCACATTGCAAGACCTGAATGATAGAATTCAGTTTGCTGCAATCAAAGGACCAAACACATGACACTAGCTAGCGTTAAATCAAAGTATTGAATTCAGTCCCACAAGAGATCAGTCACGAGCACGGATACCTTAGCTGTAAAGTCTCTGACTGCTGCACTAGGTGATGTGGGGTGAAATCGTCAGAAAGAATATTAATTCAGATATGATGGAGAAGATTTGTAGCTCAGGTGGATGATTTTGATGTGGTTGTGTTCTCTGAGCTTAGTGGTGGTTTATTTGCGAAGTTTTTATCACCCTACTGGGTGACATCTTCAGCGAATACTTCAATTTGTTGAAGTGAGTTTTTAGATTTCTCTACAAGTTTATTAATCATCTCTCCTGGTGGGTCACCTTGAACTTAATTGGTTGTTTTTGTGTGTTTTCACACCTTCTAGGCGGCTACTTGTATTGGAACTGATTGTTTCTTTGACTTGAACTTTGACCCTTTGTGTGTATTTGTCAGGTTTCTTTCTTATCGGTTGATAAATTTTGTCTATCTCTATGTGTCTATTGACTGACGATTCATTGGAATACCGGGCAGGCTTCTAAAAATTCTCTAGCATTCCTGGTGTTTCCTCTGTCTAATATTTGAACGTTGGTTGTCCCAGTCGAATTGATGTCTGTGGTTGTCTGTATGTGTGAAAAACACACAAAAACAACCAATTACATCCAAGGTCACCCACGAGGAGAGATAATTAATAAACTTGTAGATAAATCTAAAAGCTCACCTCAACAAACTAAAGTATGCGGTGAAGATGTCACCTAGTAGGGCGATGAAAGCTTCGCAAATAAACTATCAAGCTCAGAGAACATATCCATATCAAAAAGGATATGAATTCCCTCAAGATGGTTGGAGATACGCCTTATTGACTGACTGTTGAGTTCCCAGAAGCACGAAGCCTAGGCCAACAACACCTTATACGAATTACCATAGAAACCCAGTGGAATGAGTTCTGGTAGAATTTATATGTGTAATGGTAATCAAAATTATCGGAATTCTGGAGGACTTTAGTCAAGAATTTTACCAAGAGCTTTATATCTATGCATACATCTTAATGGATTTATTCATATATATATAACTGATGAATTGGGATTCGTCTGTCTGTTTCCTAAATATTGATCAGTTCATGATGTCCGTGGCCGTTCAAAGGATTTAGTTTGGGAATAGTTGCGTATGTTTAAACAACTAAGTTAGAAATTTGATGAGATTGATTTCATGTGATGATATTCAGGCCTTCTGTATTGCAGGTTTACAAAAGCTGGAAACTATGTGTCATCAAACTGTGTAGTTTATGTGTTTAAGGAGAAAGTGATCGTTTTTTTCAGATCTAACTGTGAAGTACTTTTGATATGCTACTCTTGACAAGCGCTCATTATTTATTTACCTGATAATCATTCGTCAGCTTGTGAAAAATCCAAGCCCTTTATTTATTTAGTTCACTTTGAACTTTCCTTTTGATTGATTGGATTGAAGTACTCGGTCTCAGATTGGTACGTCGATTCCTTGTGCTCATGCTTTGACGATGTCTGATTATTCAACCTGAAGTAAATTGGTGGATGTTGACTAACCATGGAATCCATCGGAATAACGCGCATTTCACCCTCCTATTTGGGAATGGCTGGTCAGATAAGTGCCCATGCATTCCCCAGTGAGTCAGTGATGGTGTTCCCCCACCCCCCCACTGACGCTGGAACCCCGTACCCATCCTTTCAAATGCCAAAAAGGGTTATCCATTGGACCACTTGGGTCACGACTTCCACCTCTTTCTTTCACAGAGAATAGCAGTTATTATTCAATTCAATTCGGACTTTTTCGGTGATTGAGTGGATTGAAGTACTCGGTGTCAGTTTCACATGTCGGTCCCTTGTGCAGATGCTTCAACAATGTCTGATTATTTAACTTGAATTAAATTACTGACTGATGGTGACTAGCAGTGGACGAAATGCGCTTTCTACTGGATTCCACTGATAGTCACTGCTAGTCACCAATTTACTCTTCATTCTTTATTTTTCTAACAAACACACCTTGACTTTTTCTGTTCACTTTCAGTTGCTTGATATGTATTCATATAAACAAGAACAAGCTAAGCGTTTAACCTGTTCAATTGGTCAAAATCCAGAGAATCGTCTTCGAAATAAATATCGTAATCTTCTACCATGTAAGTTTTGATCCTAAGATTTAGCTGCTTTTGTCTATTGAGAGATTAAATGAACTGAATGTTTGTAGATTATTCATAGGTATCACTTCATTTTTCTCCTTATTTTTTGTCACTTGTTTTATTACTCAATTGAAACTGACTCTCTGAAGGTTGGTGATATTCAAGGAAACGTGTACAAATGTTCTAGGGAAAAGGAAGAGACACAGCAAAGAATGGCTCTCAACGCATACCTGGTAGCTAATCGACGGGAGGAGAGGAGGATGGTGAAAGAGGAGATGACTCAATGCAGAGATGGGCATCAGAAGGAGCCGTTGAGTTCAGTTTGCACTGCAGTGAATAAAGAAGTGAAGAGGAATGTTGGGAAAGACAAAAGATATTTCTACGACACACTTGCTAGCGACAACTGAAGCAGAAGAGGCATACCACAGGTAAAAAAGACTTTAGGACACCATGTCAGGTATCCAGGTCTCTATCCGGGAAAAGATCAACCTAGATGATGGAACCAATAAAAGATGCCCAAGGATACCTGATTATCAAGGAAGAGAAGCAAATAAAACAATGGGCTGATCACTTTAAAGAACTCTTGAATCGACCAACAGCATGGACAGATTTGCCAGCGGACACCAATCCTCCAAAGAAAGCAGAAATTCTGAATGTGATCAAGCTACTGAAGGCTGGGAAGACACCAGAACCAGATGGAATTCCCCCCTGAAGCACTGAAAACGGATGCAGAGACTGTGTCAGATGTGCACATGCCATTATTTCAAATGGTTTGGAAGGAGGGAAAGTGCCTGTCGACTGGAAGAAAGGTTACCTTATCAAGCTGCCAAAGAATGGCGACTTACGCCTCTGCAAGTACTGGCATGGAATAGTGCTCTTTTTCAGGCTAAGTAAAATACTGAGTCACCTCATCATGGAGGGAATAAAAGATGCACTGGATGCAGGACTCCGCCAGCTCGCCGCAGCAAGGTGGATTCAGGAAAGGCAAATCATGCGCTGATCAAATTGCAACTCTACACATCATCATTACAGAACAACTCAAAGAATGGCAGTCAAACCTCTATCTCAACTTCAACAGCTTTGACCGCGAAGTAATTTGGAAACTACTTCAACACTACGGCGTGCAGTACTTCAAGTATTTACCAGTCTCATTCTACGGTTGGCCATATGGCACTACCACGTGTCAAGTGATCCACAACTTAAGACTCAGCGAAGACATTAAAGTGAATACAGTAGTAAGATGAGGCTGAGTGCCTATTATCACCGATGATATTCCTAACTGTGTTAGAGTAGATTATGCGTCAGACTGTTGGGGAGCGAGGAGACGGGAATGCGCTGCACTGACCGATAAGAAGACTCTAGCAGATCTGGATTTCGCAGATGATTTATGTCTAATGTCACACAAACTCAACGACCGACAGGCGAAAACCAGCAAAATGGCTGAAAAACCAGTATAGCGAAGACAGGACTGACACTCCAGGTAAACATACAGAAGACGGAGGTGATGAAGGTAATCAAGCAACAACAACAACAATCAGCACCAATCACCATCAACGGGAGAAATTTGACAGAGGCCACTTCCTTCATTTATCCGGCTACGAAGCATCTTCTCAACTACAACTAATGGACTGAGTGAAGACGTTGAAACTAGAATTGGAAAGGCACGATACACCTTAATCATCCTGAAATCAATTTGAGAATATTCTGCATTCCGTCTAAGCATAAACAACAAGATTCGGACTCTGTTCAACACAAATTTCAACTCTGTCAATCACTTTTTTTCATATGGGTGAGAAACTTGCACTGCTCGTCAAGAAAGGGATTTCCAACAGGCTACTGCACACTTTTATCAACAACTGTCCCCTTTCGCTGGGCTCCATACTGAAAATCAAATGGCCAGCCGCCTTGTTGGAAAGAATTAGCAACAAGAAACTCTGCAGTGGAACAAACCAACCAACTCAACAAATACGTAGAAGAAAATGGAGATGGATTGGACACACGTCACTGAAGAGACTGTCGAATGACAACGCGTTCTAGGCTCTCTAGTGAAATCCTAATGGGAGGGGCGACGTGTGGGTTATCCGAGAGTGACACAGAAGAGACTGTCGGAGGGGGGATGAGAGATTATTGATAACTGTGGACCCGGCTGAAGAGGGGAGCAAAAAATAGAACACAGTGGAGATGTGTTGTTGAAGCCCTATGTTCCACCCAGGACCCAAGCGAATAATATATATATATGTACTCTAAATGTCCTTGAGAGACGCTAGTTCCATTGGCTACTTAAAACAATAAATAACCAATAGGGTTCCAAGTTCATAAGTGGGTTGAAGGAACTATGACAACAGTGAAAAGATAAACGTAGCATTATAGGGAAACAAGGCCTATATAACATCAGCATGAATCCAATTACTGAGGCACTAACGGTTTCAGTATAAAAAGATGTTAAACATAAGAACTACTAATAGTTCAGTGTTTTTGATGGGAAAAATAACAAGCGACACAAACATGAAATGTCTTGTTCACTGGTTCACGTGTTAAGTGATAAGAGGAGGGTACAAGCACAAAGGTGACAAAATTAAGCAGACCAAAGTAGACTTTTAAGGGAATCGGATTTAACTATATTCTTGGTTCATATGTGTGATTTCCTTTTGGTGTATCTAGGGTGGACTGATCAGCCTTATTTTGGTTTATGAGCTGATTGAGAACAGATATCTTAATATTATAATCAGGATTATATATAGTCGAATGACACTTGTTTAATGATAGCTAAGTAGTGGGATTCACGACGCGTGTTTCGTCCTGCTTTATGATTCGTCAACTGTGAATGCCAAAGTGTGGCTGATCAGTTCAGTCAGATGTATCACAAAATGAAATCATCACTTTTATGAATAGATAATTTCGAATTGTATCCCCGAGCACAAGAGGCACACCTTTTGTGTCTCACTACTCCCTAAGAGATGATGTCTTAGCGTTTGAAATGGCTAATGCTGGACTTAAATCCCAGTGGGAATACAACTGCTCACTAGAGAGCAGGAACATAAAACTGATAAAACCAAATATGATGGAACGCGAGTCCTGGACTCTGTTGTTGCTAAACACTAACGAACTAGTAACACTTCAAATTGTATTGACTGTTTTTACGAGTTGATCACGGATTAATATCAGTTAGAGAAGCATTGAAAACCAAGGAGTACTGGACAGCTGTTTCATCCTAGTTTGGGAATCACCTACACTACGCACCCCGAACAGTGGGGCTCGAACCCACGACCTTCCGGTTACAAGGCGAGCTAGCTCGTATACCATTCAGCCACTGGGACCCGATTCAATGGCCAGTCTGTGAATTCTAACTTCTATCAATTCGTGATTCAGCGCAGAATGGCCACTGAATCGGGTCCCATTGGGTGATTGGTATGCGAGCTAGCTCGCCTTGTAACCGGAAGGTCCTGGGTTCTAACCCTGATAGTGTGGTGGGTGCATACTGACGATGATTCGCAAACGAGGATGGAGCAGCTGTCTGGCAATACTCCCTGGTTTTCAATGGTTCCCTAACTGATATCAATTCGTGATCAACTTGTAAAAACACAACTAACCCCTACAAACCAAACTGTACTCACTGTTATTAGAATAATATGAATGGTTGTGCAGACGACTTACGTGAGATGTGAAACTTTGTTTTACGGATACGGATGGAAATTGCTTCTGCTGACTGAGAGGAAGATGTGTTATTCACATAATCCAGTAAATAACTCTGAACATCTCGTTAACATCAACGAGCTGTAATGTTCGGTTGGCGACGGATGTTGCATACATATGTTCAGAAATTCTGAGATAAATCTGACTCTGTTTCAAATACCTAATCTGTCAGTGGGAGGTTTACCTCGTAACCTGAAGGCTCCGGATTCAATCTTCTGCGGTCACGAGTAGTTATGGCTGAAGAGTCCCAAAATAGGACGAAACAGTCGTCATGTACTTATTAGTTTTCAATGGTTTTTTTAACTTATATTCATGAACAGTTGTGTTATTCAATTTGCACATTGCATTATCTATTGACAATGATATTTTTCACTTTTTTTTCATTATTGTGAATTTAGTCGATCATAATTATGTTCAACTAACAAAAGCAATATCACTTACAGAATCTGAGTGCATCTCAACATTGAATCAATCCAAAGAAAGTGTAACGCATGCTAAAGATAACAATAGTAGTAATAATAATAATAATATTGATGAAGTTATCGAAATGATCCCAGATATTGGTAGGGAACAATTGATTCCATCGAATTATATGAATGCTAGTTGGATACCGAGTAAAATTCCTAGAATTCCAAATATACTAATTGATAGTGGTCAACTGCCTCAAAAGTATATTGCAGCACAAGCACCAGTGAATCACTCGCGTAGTTTATTTTGGCAAATGATATGGGATCATCGTGTATCAATGATTGTTACCCTTACAAGGTGAGTAATCAATATTCATTCATTCAATATTTAGAATACCAGTTTTTGCAGAATAAAAAGATGGTACCAACCTTTGTTGATTTCGTTGGCTTCTCATCAGCTGCTTACAGCCTAAATAAATTATTAAGTTTATATACAGAAAAGTTTTAACCTATCGAGGTCATTTGTCAACATTCTGATCTTTTTGATGTGGTTGTGTTCACTGAGCTAGCTGGATAGTTAATTTGCGAAGCTTTCATCACCCTACTGGGTGACATCTTCAGCGAATACTTCAATTAGAATTGAAGTGAGCTTTTAGATTTCTCCACGAGTTTATTAATCATCTCTCCTGGTCGGTGACCACCTTGGACGTGACTCTTTGGTTGTTTTTGTGTTTCCACACCTTCTAGGCTACCACTATTGGAAATGATTGTTTCTTTGACTTGAACTTTGACCCTTTGTGTGTGAAGTTTCTTTCTTATCGGTTGATAAATTTTGTCTATCTCGATGTGTCTATTGACTGACGTTTCATTGGAATACCAGGCAGGCTTCTAAAAATTCTCTAGCATTCTTGGTGTTTCCTCTGCCTAATATTTGGACGTTGTCCCAGTCGAACTGATGTCCGTGGTTGTCTGTGTGTAGTAAAATGAGGGAGTGGATATCATGTCTTTTGACAGCTAGCTTATGTTCGTGGATACGAAGACGAAGGGGACGTCCACTTTGGCCGATGTAGTGTTTTTCGCAGTTGTTACAGTTTATTTTGTAGATGATGTTGGTTTTGTCTTCTTTCGCTGTTGAGTCTTTTGGTTGACATAGAATTGAGGGCAGCGACTTTGTTGGTTTGTGTACGACGTCAATTCCTAAAGGTTTGAAGAGTCTTGTAGTGATTTCTGAGATATCCTTTATATATGGTAAGGCGATTTTCTTTGAGCTTTCCTTGGGGGCTTTTGCTTTGATAGGTTGGCTTTGGGGTATATGTCTCTTGATGAAATTCCGTGGATATCCATTCTTTTGGAAGACGTCCATGAGATACTTTTCTTGAATTTTCCTTAAGGTGGGAATGCTGCAATGAGTCCTTTCTCTCTTGAATAGTGTTTGTATGCAATTCTTTTTGTGTGTTATTGGATTGTTGCTGTTGTAATTCAAGATTTGGTCTGTGTGAGTTGATTTCCTATAAACTTGAGTTTCTAATTCCCCTGAGGCTGTTCGCCTGACTAAGACGTCCAAAAATGGTATTTTGTTCTCGGATTCCTCTTCTCTTGTGAATTTGATGTCGTTGAAGACGTTGTTTATTAGGTTGTGAGTTTTATCTAACTCGTTTCTTCTGATTATTACAAATGTGTCTTCAACGTAGCTTATCCAAATAGGTGTGAAAACACACAAAAACAACCAATCACGTCCAAGGTCAACCACCAGGAGAGATGATTAATAAACTCGTGGAGAAATCTAAAAGCTCACTTCAATTCTAATTGAAGTATGCGCTGAAGATATCACCCAGTAGGGTGATGAAAGCTTCGCAAATTAACCATTCAGTTCAGAGAACACAACCACATCAAAATCATCCACCTGAGCTACAATTCTTCTCTATCATATCTACATTCTGATCTTCTCCCACTCCCAGATTTGGAATTCAAACGCCTACTGCTAATGTGTATCATGGGTGTACAATTTCAGTTTGACAACACTCTTTACCATCAAACATATGGTGTACCCATGAACAGTTCACTCAGTCGCGTTTTAGCAGATATCTTCATATCCGACCTTGAGAAAACAAAACTGAAGCATGTAATCGACCGAAACAACTTCTTATTGTCGATATGTCACAGATGGCACATTTGTAGTGTGCAATAATGAAATTCATGCTTCCTACTTACTCGGATTATAATTCAACAACGCGCATACAAATATTGAATTTACCATGGAACATTAAAATGATGGAAACTTCCATTTCCTCGACATTGTCATGCAACGCCTAGAAGATGGTAGTCTCCGGAGGTTAAGACAGGACTTCTTCAGGGAAATTAATCGAAATTAACATAACAGAGGTTTATACATAAAAGGAACATCTCTTGTTTTAAAAAAACTTTGTCCAATCATGAGTCATAAAGCAAATATTAACAAGTATAGTAAACAAAAAGTTGTATGAGCTGTGATCAAAATTTGATCTTGGACTTACAAATATTGGTCAACCTTTGTTATACACTTTAAACAGAGTGTGCATGCATGTGTGGGTAAAAAGTTGTAAAACATTTCTTAACGTCTCCATAAGAAGATATGGACAGTCAGGAATTTTGACCAAGTATTATTAATTAGTGATACATACGCATTTTTATTTATTAATCAGGATTTCCTATGCATCAGCTAACAAGATCACACCTTCACGTCTGTTGAGACTGTTAGTATCTAGAATTGTATGATTAGACGTATTTTCAAAATTATGGTGTTTAAGATTAGAGTTTAGTTGTAGCACCCTGTCGAACTTATTGCTTTGTCTTCTTTCTGAATATTGAGCTGCTTTATTCGACCTACTGGAGTTGTCAGTTGACTGGATAGCTACGGTTTTAGGATAGGCATTCTGTTGCTCCTTTTATGTATAAACCTCTGTTATGTTAATTTCGATTAATTTCTCTGAAGAAGTTCAGACCAGATTACCGAACGCTGGAAACGTTGGAATTACTCATTTCAATCTTGCTGAGATTTTACAAATATAATTTTTTACAAATGTCTACTTCTCACTCGGTGCCCAAATATTTTAGAACTATTGTGTCAAATCTTGCCGACAGTTCATTTGACAGAATAGTTCTAAAATATTTGGGCACCGAGTGAGAAGTAGACATTTGTAAAAAATTATATTTGTAAAATCTCAGCAAGATTGAAATGAGTAATTCCAACGTTTCCAGCGTTCGGTAATCTGGTCTGAACTTCTTCAGGGAATTTAATCGAAATTAACATAACAGAGGTTTATACACAAGTAAGTAGGTGAAGTTGTAGTAAAAACCATCATTAACAGTTCGATATTGGACTATCTGGTGCAAACTGGCCACAAAGCCAGCCAGCGTGGAAGAATCCGTCTCTGTCATCATCTACCGGGTGCCTAATAAATTGCCAAAATCATCATCGAAGCACCGCATGCTCCGAACAGCAGAGGCTATTGCGATTCGCCTCAAACAACGAGTGCTCTGTGTTCAAAAGAAGCATGTCCAGTTAGCCACTACTACTGCCCTGGCCGGTCTTCAGTAGAGACTATAAATTTATGAATTTGTAATATTATCTTTCCTAATTTTTCTGACATTCAGCTTATTTTATGTTGATGCTATTGAGCTGTAATCTATCAATATTATTGGTCCGTTGTTATTTAAACAACAATAATGTTATTCATAACACTAATTCATTCATTCACTATAATGGATGGATATATAACTGTAGAACCTGATGAAGAAGGGGTTATCGAAAAGAGTAGTCTTTGTTCAGTATCCATTCTTTTGAAAAATTTAATGGGCACTTTTAATCAGTCAATGAAATAGTTTTTTGTTTTGTGAAATTCTATTGTATAACAGATGTATGGAGAATGGCAAGGAAAAGTGTTCTGTATATTGGCCTGGAAGTAATTCCGTGAAAGAACAGCAAGATGATAAAAATGAGCCTGTGGCCTATTTTGGTAGATATAGAATACACCTCATATCAGAAACGAGTTATTCAGTATATGAACATAGAAAACTACGTCTATACAGTCGTGTAAGTTAACGAAGTATTTATCCATTTTACTAGTGATTGTATGTATTAGTATTTATATAGAAATTATGCGAAATTTTTCAAAGCATTTAAAATATATTCAGATGAAATAATAACTCAGGTGGATGGATGATTTTGATTTAGTGGTTGTGTTCACTGTTTGAGCTAGGTGATTTAATCGCCAAGCTTGCATTGTTCCACATCTGGACAACATCGCTTCAGTTTAGGTTTTAGTATTATTATTATTGTTCCCTTGGATTCCTAATGAAACATAGGGATTCAAATGCACGTCTCCACTTGGTTCTGTCTTCCGCTGTACTTTTCACCTGCATCCATGTTAGTCCGTTCATACTGTTTCAACTCCTCTTCGAACGATCTCCACCATGTCACCTTGGCACTGACGTCCCAATCGACGCTTCCCTTTCGGATTCCACTCAAGCAATGGCTTGACGCGCGATGTCACCCAGCGGCCTCCTCAGCGAGTGTCCAGTCTATCTCCACGTTCTCCCGAATATTTGTTGGATGGCGATTAGTTCTTGTTTTGTTTGTTTGTTCCCATAGTTTCTTGTTGATGATTCTTTCCGGCCCGGCCATATGATCTTCAGTATAGAGCGAAGACAGTTGTTGGTTGATGAAAGTCCGCATGCAACAGGCTGTTGGAAATATTCTTTGTGACTCGCCAAGTTTCTGCCGAGCATGAAATGAATTATTTGAATTCTCCATGAAAGATGATACAATTGCCTCTTGAATATTCCCGAAATTTATTCAGAAAAAATATTTAGAACGAACAATTGTGGTTTCAATAAATTCTTCCTTCTTCAGGCTGTACAATTATAAATCTATTAATTTAAGCATACAATAGCCAGTAAAGGCAAATTAGAATCATATCAGAAATGTGTATTGTGGAACAAGTATAAGATGAGACGGGATGGAACAATAGTCAGTTAGTTTTTTAATATGCTTGGTTAATGAGAACTAAACCAGTACTGACACAGCAAGTCAAGGATAAATTACCAAAGATGGCCTCATCAGTGTGTATCTATGAATTCAACTGCTCATGTGGAACTAGTTACATTGAATGAACTCAGAGGGCTTTATTCATACGCGCGCGTGAACATGTACCTGTATGGTTGGTAAAGGAGTAACCAAATGCGTAAATAGTTCAGTCTTAGCCCACTTGGTAGATATTGGACACCCAATAAAACTTGACCAGGCGTTCTCAGTTATTTACCGCGTTCCTAGTAATTTATCTAGAGGAGCTCGACTACGTCTTCTATCAGTAGCTGAAGCAGTTGCAATTAATACCAGAAGACCATCCCTCTGCATACAGAAGAAGTATGTTCAACCCCTATGTTTACCTTGGCCTAGAATAAAGCCAACAAATCCTCCATTAACACTATAAATTCCTTTCACAATTTTCTTTTTTTTCCTTCTTCTATTCCTCTGTTTCATTGACAAACGTTCATTTTCGACTTTTATGATTTCTACTACCTTGGGTTTAAGCAGTGCTTTTCTAACTCGCTGTCGTATTTAAAAATCCTGTTCATTCCACTTGATTATATTCATTATTATTATTTGACAATCATTCACCAATAGTACTTTTAATTTTAAACCATATCATCGTTATTATTTTACAATCATTCTTATTGTTGTTATTTTCAATCTTGAACTTATGTCTAGACCGCCCTATTCGTTGGTTTAATTTCATATTGTCTCACACATCCGGATTACACTCACTCTTGAAACCTGAATTTTCTGTTGACTGTATTTATAAATATGTACACACACATCATTAAATTATTTCATCTCATCTTATACTTGTTCCACGATACACATTTCTGATATGATTCTAATTTGCCTTTACTGGCTAGCTGGATGGCTATTGTATGCTTAAATTAATGGATTTATAAATATAGAGCCTGAAGATGGAGAATTTATTGAAACCACAATTGTTCGCTCTAACTAATTTTGTTCTGAATAATTGTATCTGCCTACTGACAATCATTGTCGCGATTTGTTCTTGGTTGTTAATTTACGTCTCTTTTGGTCGTTTTTATTGATTGACTTGAAATTTGAACTTTCTTGTTATGTAGTTTATCTTTTATTAGCTGGTAAATTTGGTCTATAGTATAATTGAATTTTTGATTTTCCCGTCGATTGATTGATTGGACCGAAATGCTCGGTCTCAGGTTGACATGTCGGCTTCTTGTGCAGATGCTTCGACGATTCCTGGGCATATAATTAGAATTTAATTGGTGGATGGTGACTAGCAATGGAATCCAGCATAAAGCGGATTTCATCCTATTTGGGACTCGTCACTGGATGTACCTGCATTTCTCAGTGATTGATGATGTTCCCACCGAAGCTCGAACCCAGTACCCAAGTGGTCTAGTGGATAACGCTTTGGCGTTTGAAACTATTGGTATTAGGTTCGAACCCCGGCCATCATTTTTTTGTCCATAATTTTCCGCATGCATTGATACGAAAGAATATATATCATGTCTTTTTACAGTCAATTTGTGTTCTTTAATTCGGATTCGAAGGAGATTCCCACTAAGACCGATATGACGTTTATCGCAGTTGTAGATGGTATTAATTTTATCTTCCTTCTTTTTCTGTTGGATCTTTTGGTCTGTACAATATCGAATGAAATGAATTTGCTGCCTGGCTGACTGGCTTGTGTGCTGTATCTATTTCAAATGGTCTTAATATTCTAGCTGTTATTTCGGAGATATTTTTTTATATATGGTAGGATGAATTTTTATATGTAGTCTTTGACGATGGCTTGTTGTCAGTGTTATTACTCGAGTTGGCAACAGTAAAGAATAGACATCGACTACAGACGACCTTGAAACAACCAATCAGATAATTTCAGTTAAAAAGTGGCATAAAATGAATTTAAAAAAAACTGTATTTATGACATATATATGTCACAACAGAAGACAAGGGCTGGCAACAGATCGTTTTATTACGAAAATCAACACGTATTTATATATATTTTATGTACATTAATAAGGCTTATGCAAGCAGAAAAAGGCAGTCTTCTGATTGGTTGTTTCTCGGAAGTTAAGCAGACAAACACAGTCTTATGATTGGTTGTTTTCGATATTTCTCGGAAAGTAGAGCCATCTATCTGCGAATCATATTTGTCCACGTTTAAGTTTGCTGTGATTGGTTGTTGAAACAGCCTTGTTCATATTTTCTCACGGCCCATATTAGTGACCTAGACATTAACGTAGATTAGTGTCAACCAATCGGCTAGCAGCCTGCTCTCACCACATATATATGTAATAAAAAGGAATTATACCAAATAAATGTCTCTAATATGCTGCAAAAACTGGTCCCAGTTTCGCATAGGAGTGGTTATAGACATATTAAACCAATGTCGAGACAAAAATTCATCTAAATGGCTTTATACCATATCACTTCTTCGGGAACCGTTTACCATTCTGATAAGTTTTTTGAGGTGAGCCCAAAATCCTTCAATGGAATTTGTATGTGTTTCTGTTACAGGATCCACCAGTTCAGAAGAATGGTTGACTTTGTGATGAATATAGTCTAGTGGTGATAACTGAGAATAACCTGTCCATTCGTCTGTGTGAATAGTAGTTCCTGGGAGGACTAGTCGTTGTATAATTGGTATTAACAGCACATCAGCACTTCTGTTCAAGATGCGTTCTACAAATCCTTTACGAAGATCTGTGTCATAAAGTCCCAGCACCCAAACATGATTTGCTCTACTCCTGCCTCGATTCATTTTTCGCTTAATAAGTACAGTTTCGTTAATATGCACGACGACACCAACTCCACCAAGTACAGAGGCGATACCGCTTAGCTTTTGTGACGCAATATCACGGCAGTACTGATACCACTGCGCCGTTGAAATCTTTGTATTTTCCTTTTCTGCAGCTGTAGCAGATACTGGTCGCTTTAGTAGCCAGTTGTGGCATATACGCAATACGATTTGAAGAATCTCCAATAAGGTACAACTTATCAACTCTCACAGACTTCCTCATATAACAGTGGTTGCGTCTAAATGCGTAGCCGTCAATAGCCCGGCAATATTTTTGCAGAGTCACTATCCCTCCACATATGTAGGTTTTAAACCTCCCTATCAACCCATTTTTCACACAGAAGTCAAAAACCAATCTGGGTGAAACTTGCAACAAAGTTCATGAACAGCATCCATAATGAATGATGAACTATCTGACTGGTCGCTTCAAGGTCATTTGACTTTGGTGTCTATTGTTTACTCTTGCCCTCGAGTTTAAACACTCTTTAATGAAATGATGTATCTTCTTTTGATGAAAGCAAATTAAGACTGGAAATGTTGAATGTTTGTACAATGTACACAGCTGAGAAGACTGTCCAGGTAGGCGAAGAAATGAGAAAATATGAAATGAAAGTGTTGGAAATCTGTGAGAGCTAGTGAAATGGACGTGAACTATCTAAATTGCCAATTAATTATTGTCTCCTCAGGATTTTTTCTGCTTCTTTCATTTTTTCTCCAGGAAACACCTGACAGAGGACATCGTGATATAATTCAACTCCATATGCTAAAATGGCCAGACTTTTCAGTCCCGACAACTGAAGACTTTTTAACATTTCTGTATGCCTATTGGACGGAGAGGCGAATGTTAGGCGGGAAATTTCCTGTTCTTGTACATTGCAGGTAAATCCATGCAGGTTAATATATATATATATATATATATATATATATACAATAATCAAGTATTGGTTTGCAGGGATTTGATTGGCCACAGGATTAATTACGAGCTGACATCACATCAGTTAGAGAATCATTGTAACCTCAAGGTATGCTGGCTGGCTGACTGGCGGATGCGCTGAATATATATCACGAAATGGAAGAAGTTGAAATTCACGGACCATTGGGTTGGGTCCCAGTGACTGTGAATGGTGTACAAGGTAGCGCGCCTTTTAACCGGAAGATCGTGGTTTGGGGTGGGTGCCTACTGATAGGGAGTTAGTCAGAAACTAGGCTGAAGCAACAGCTGTCTGGCAGTACTCCCAGATGTAATTCCATATTAGATTGTTTATTAGACGTATCACACAATGAAACTGTGCGTCGGCACCGACCATACACATGGTCCGGGGTTCGATCCCCGGCCACAGATGCATTCCTTTACCTCACTAAACCAGTAATAAGACTGGTAAAGATGAACGGTTGGGTATGAGGCTAGCAACCCCATCCTGTAAAAGTAAACACTGCTACAGAAACTTCAGGCCTCTAACTTGAAGCGCCATTTTCCACTGGGAGCGTGAAGGAATCAAAAAACAGTGGAACAGTTATTATGTACCGAATGATGAGGTCTCAAACACAATTTATAACTGTTCATAATCATATAACTTATAATCACAGGACTTGGAAACTACAGTTTTCTTTGCTCTCCCCTATTCGCCGTCGTAGGGGTAGTAGAATTTTCCACATGTCCGACTTCATAGGTGTTGAATCATTCCTATTACACGTGTTTGCAGTTGATTCGATAAACAAAGCTTCCATTATCAATCTCTCCCTCCACCCTGTTATACTAGATTTGATTTTAAAATTGTCATCTTATCCCGTCATCTTATTGTATAGTTGAGTATAATTGCATGTAGCGAGTTCCATAGTTGAACTAAATACTCTCCAGATTTCTTATCTTATTAGGGTCAACTAATGTAGACTTTGCTAGGTCTTGCGCTCCCCTAGTCTGACTGACCCCGTTCTATTACTCTGACCCATATGTCTGACCTGACAATCATTCCAGTGGGGTATCAGATAAACTAAATTGTTTTATTTTAAAAGCTCCACAGGATTGATCCTTTAACCGACAAAGCTTGTTTCTAATTGAGTTTGTAGGTTTGAATGCCAGTTTCATACCTGTCTTGTTAAGAATTCTGTGAAAGGTTTCTGAGGTGGAAAAAAGTGGCATTCAAACCTACAAACTCAATTACAAACAAGCTTTAATGGTGGACCCTGTAGAGTCAATAAAACAAAACAATTTAGTCATTGTCTGGCAAGAAATGCATTGGTCAAAGCAGTGGAACAGGGGTGTAGTCAGACTAGTCGAGAGTTAAAACCCAGCAGCAAAATCTAGATTAGTTGATCCGAATAACATATGAAATCTAGCGAACAGCTCAGCTATAGCACTCACTATATGCTATTACACATAACCACACAATAGGATGGGATAGGATAAGATGACAGTTTTAAAGTCGAATCTAATATAACAGGGTGGAGGGAGAGACTGACAACAGAAGCTTTGTTTATCGAATCAACTGAAGAGGATACGTGTAATAGGAATGATTCAATATCTATCCCAGATATCTGAAAAATTTTGCTACCTCTACAACGAATAGGAAAGAATATAAAAAACTATAAAACTGAAGTTTCGAAGTTTTGTGATTATCATTGGGGATATGATTATGAACGATAATAAATTTTGTTCGAAACGTCATCCATTAAACAATAATACTATTTCACTGACTGTGTGATGCATCTAATAAACAATCTAATATGGAATTACTTACTATCACAGTGCCCAAGTTTTATACATATGTTAGTCCCCCCTCCCCGTCAGCTGGTTTTTCAATGGTTATATAACCAATCTTAGCTCATAATGAGACCCTGGAATCAGCCAAATCCAAGTAAACAAAACACTACTATAATTCAATATTACATAAACTAAATCCCAGTCATTTTCATTCTACACACTTCTATATATTTCAGTGCTGGAATAGGACGAACTGGTACATTTATTTGTTTGGATCAATTATGTCAACTTGCTCGTCATTTTTTACACCCAAATTTTCATCCAGTTATCAGTAAAATTAACAGGATCAATGAACCAGTTTACATGAATTTGAACAATGAAGACGATGATGATGATGATGTGTTGGTGACGATGATGATAAAGACGAAGAAGGAGATCCCGACAGAGATGGACATCAAGAGATGAAAAGTCTAGTAAAGCATAAAGAAAGTATGTTATAAATTCTTACTTCTTTTTATATTCCTATCTTATTGTGTATTCTGATGGATTAGTGTAGTAACGACAGAAGACAAGGAAGGGCCAGGACAACAGATCGTTTATTGACAAAACCAGCAGATATTTATAGATTTTTATGTACATTATGATTCATTATTGTTAGGAGAAAAGTAACGTCCTCTGATTGGTTGTTTTCTTGCCGAAGGTTATTCCGTACTACTTGTGACTGTTTCTCAGAAAGTTAAGCCATAGATCTGCAAATCATATTTACAAACTCTAAGTCTGTTGTGATTGGTGGGTGAGTTCCTCAAGATTAAGCTTTGTTATTGTGTTTTTTCTTCTCACTACCCCGATTTGGGACGTAAACAGTATTGACGTAAATTGTTGTCTACAATTTTTGCCTTGCAGACAGCTCTCACCATATATGTACCGCAGAATTTAGATATATTTATACTACTGGCTTCATTTAGTAGTATATGTACTGCTGTAAAATCTTTCAGCTGAAACTTGAAGTGTGCTTAAATAAAGACTAAATAAATAGTAATCTGGCTAATACTTCATTACATCATGTTGTCTGTCCTCAGGTCACCCCATCTGTGCCCCCATTTAATCGGAATGTTACAGAGTAAATTCTATTTCCATTGGGTTACATAGAAAATCAAAAAACGTCATTCAGTGAAGAGACTGTTTACAATGAATTTGTTATCAAGCTGCACAATCGTATATTTACGGGTTTTTATGTTAAGAAATTATATTTAAAAGATTTAGTTCCCATTATAAATTTAGACAAAGAAATGAGAAGACGTAATTTGTTTGAATCATGTAATGCTGTATTTGCTCAACACATTTCAAACAATCTGATCACACATACGGACTTGTCACAGGAATGTGTATATATGAAATTGATAAAGAGTTGACAGGTGAGAAAATAGACTTTGGTCAAGTTAAAAGGACATATTCAAGATCAAAATAACAATGAAGATCAATCACTAAACGCAACAACAGAGGTAATAGTACATTTACCTTGGCTAATATCAAAACAAAGTCTACCAAGGGAGGTTTAGTTAGTGTGATGACGAATTGTTGCTTTGAACGCATAAAAGTGGTTTAAACTTCCTAATTGTCAGTTAGGGCTTCCACAAACTTTAGGATACGCCCTACCCCAAACATGTTTGATAGATAGGTTTAAAAGACTTACGTAAACATCAATTTGATGTCCTGTCTCCTCTATAATATGTTTCGCAACAGAGGAGCTATAACGCCTGTTTTCACCATTATTGTGTTAAGTGTACACCCTAATGTATTTTTTCTGTTGTTATTGGTGAGTATATTACATGCAATATTGTACTAAATGCTGCTAGCCAAAATTGGTAGACAGCAATTTACGTCAATCTTAACGTCTCCAATATTGGTCATGAGAAAAATAAGAACAAAGACTGATTCAACAACCAATCACAACAGACTTTGCGTAGGTGGATGCAAAATTTGCAGATAGATAATCTAAACTTAAAGAAACGGCCGCAAAGAGATGAAAGATCAATGTTCAGCGAGAAACCACCAATCAGAAGACTGTGTTTGTTTGCTTACAATAATCTAAAATGTACATGAAAATCTATAAATATTTGTTGATTTCCTAAATAAACGATTTGTTTCCTGGCCCTTGTCTTCTGTTGTTACACTATTACAATTATTATGGAGATGTGGCTAATTGGTTTGGCAATCGACTTTCAGTTAACTAGTCTCGAGTTCGAATCCCTCTATTTTTGAGTCAGTTATGGTAACTGAGGAACAGTATTAGCATCCTTCACACAATAAGTGTGACTTATAGACACTGATACATGAGAAATCTGTTTCCGACAATGGAGTTCTAACAACAGCTCCAAAGCAGCTGCACCAAGTCAACAAAAATCCAAACTTCTGTTCAGATAATACTTGTCCAAGGACAAATGGGTGGAGACCAAATAAACACGAGCAGAATTCAAGTATTGGTTTTTTGCGGGGATTTGGTTGATTGGTTACAGGATTTCATCATGAGCTGACATTGGTTAGAGAATCATTGGAAAACCCAAGAGAACTGGACACCTGTTTCTTCCTAGTTCGGAACTCCTCAGCAGTACGCACCACTAGCCATGGTTCGAACCCAGGAACTTCCGGTTACAAGGCGAGCTAGCTCATAGACCACTAAGCCACTGGGACGCGATCCAATGGCCAACCTATGAATTCTAACTTCTGTCAACTCACGATATAGAGCAACCGCTAGCCAATGTCTTCGGCGAGTATTTGTCGTCACACCCGACCTGCTGCACCCTACTGGTCACGACTTCCCCCTGGAACCCCAGGTAACTACCTACCTGAATACGGCTAGTCGCCAGTGAGCATATCATTGATATTCAAGTATTGGTTTTTTTGTAGGGATATGGTTGATTGGTTACAGGATTTCACAGGAATTGTCAATCGCCTTCCCGAGAGAGGAGATGGATCAGGAACTATCAGAGGAGACGGATTAGAACCTGTCAAATATCCGGATCACAAAGATCCTGGACCTATAATTGGTTGCAGAAGACAATACCAAACACTCCGACTTTTATGCATGTCAACCGACACGGAACAATGGAAAACATTTAGGCAATAGGATCGTTTATTCTTCCACGGATAACGAGACAGGATTAAAATTATTCCCATGTGCAAAGTCCGTAAATAAACCTTAATATAATGTACAATAATACTTCTGGTCGTATTTCTCCAGTCTTCTGCCAATAAGTATACGATTCAGCAACGATAACCCTTTTGTCTCCCGCCAATAGAGAACGGTTCGAATAAAGAATGGTTTAACGTTCACCATTATTGATAACACCCTTCATCAGTGGATTTTATCAGTTATTTTTACCAGTTTTTTGGTATTTTTGTAACAGTTTTCTATACGGGTTCCATTTCCTGCCGACACACTGCCAAACCTTGTCTAGACAGCAACCCCATCCACTGCTACCTAAAATTTTGAAAAGCTTGAAGTCGTATGCTTCACTCGTAATATAAGGAATGAATATAAAACGGTCCTTCTGCCTGTTTTACCTGTGTTGTAACGGCAGAAGGGAAGAAACGTGGTAGTGGACCACTTTTTATTAAGGAAAATCACACCATATTTATAGATTTTTAGCTACGTTTATGGTTGGCTAGGTCAATGGATAACACACTGTTCTGATTGGTTGCTGATTTTTTGAAGATGTTTAACCTCTAGATTATTTCCTGACCACAACGCAAGCTAAATTCAGATTTGAGAAATAAACGCTTCCTCCCACTTCTGTAGTCACCACTGAATTAAAATGTTGTTTTTCAATTTTGGCTACTTCCTCTCAATCTGCGTCGACATACTACTGATAGTTCTTGTCAGTAGGCATACTCCACACTTGATTTCACTCTTTATGTCGAGTAGACTGTATTTTTCTAACTTTTTTTCTCTCTCTCTCTCTCTCTCTCCACTAGATATTGATCAGTTGAATGATGACAAAGAACCAAGTATTCATGATCGTCTACTCAATGAAACATTGAATGAACCATTGAAATCAAGCAGTCAAGAATACATTCCTCATATGCATGACTGCAGCCATATTAAGAAAAAGTCATTTGTATTTGGTAAACGTCGAACACAGTGTATTGATATTTTTAAAACTGTATTATGGTTAAGATCACAACGTAATCGAATGGTACAGACCACTGTAAGTTTTCATTGAATTCCATTTGATATCTTAATATAATTTCCTTTTTGATTGGATGGAGGATTTCATCATGAGCTGATATCGGTAAGAGAACCATTGGAAAACCAACTGGGAGTACTGGATAGCTGTTTCGTCCTAGTTTGGGACTCTTCGGCAGTACGCACCCACTGAGGTTTGAATCTAGGACCTTCTGGTTACAAAACGAGCTCGTAGACCATTGAGCCACTGGGACCCAACCGATCCAATGGCTAGCCCATAAATTCCAACTTCTCCCAATTCATAGCTCCTGAGCGACTGTCCAATACTCCAGTGCTGGTTTTCCAGTGGTTCCCTAAATGATTTCAGCTCATGATGAAATCCTCCATCCAATCAAACAAAATTTCTTAAAAACCAACGCTTGAAAAATTCGTTTTTCTACTTTTTTTAAAGGAACAATATATATTCATTTATGAATGTTTGGCACATTACATAAAACAGCTAAAGGAACAAGGTAAGCTGTACATATGTATATTTCAATGTATAATCAACTGATGTAAAAGTGTAGAACTTGAGCATTATGCTACTAAATTGTAATTCCATACCAGATAAGTTTAGCTGATTTAGCGCACACAGTGATTCAGTATTAATAACTGGATTATAATTCCATAATCCATGTAGCTTACTAGATTATTTGAGGTTGGATATTAGTTTTACAGTCTCATGCCTCCTTGATGGCGGTTAGTTTACCGACAACATCGTTTATTTCCTCCGTTATTATTAGTTTTGTCTCCCTAGATTCCGAGGGAGAATACATCTTCAACAGAACGTCCCCCATATGCTCTATTTTCTGCTGTCCTCTTAAGCTAGCCCCACATTCTCCAATAACCTCTCACCTGCCCCTCTCAAGACCTCCCCTATATGCAGAGTCTTCTGAACACCTTGAGCAGCAATCTCCGTATGTTTGGCATGCGATTCGCCCCTACAAAATGTAAGATGCTGCTACAGGACTGGACCACGTCAACTCCTAACTTAGTGATAGGGAGTGAAGTGATAGAACATGTTGACCACTTCACCTATTTGGGAAGTTGTATTAGCACCAACAGACTGATTGGCGATGAAATCTCAGCACGGATTCGAAAAGCTCGAGCTGCTTTCGCTGACTTACACCATCTCTGGCATAGGCGTGACATCCGGCTATCAACCAAGGGACGTGTGTACTGTTCAGCAGTTCGCTCCGTCCTTCTCTATGGCTCTGAAACATGGCCAATACGCGTTGAAGACATGAAAAGGTTGACTGCTTTCGATCATAGATGTCTGCGATCTCTTTCTCACGTTAGGTGGTTTAATAAGGTAAGTAATGTTGACGTTAGGCGTAGAGTGCTGGACAGGCTAAGAGGGAAAATCAATCGACGAGGCTATAAAGTTACATAGACTAAGATGGCTAGGTCACGTGCTGCGCATGCCTAACCACCGCCTCCCCCGACGGGCATTGCTAGCTGATATAGGTGCAGGTTGGAAAAGAGCCAGTGGTGGCCAAACAAAAACATGGCCTCATCAATCCATGAAATCCTTGACAGTTAAACTGAGTCAGGTAGGGAGATGCAGACTCCCGGGTTGGGGCCCTCGGGACTATAGGAATCAATGGCTGGAGACAATAGGTGACATGGCTCAAAATCGTTGTCAATGACCAGCGCAGATGTATTCAGTCTCTGTAATCTTTCATATTCCTTTCTACCATCACCCATTCTGTTTCACTCGTATACTTGTCAAACTCTATTGATTCTCTTCACTCATCTTCTTGGCTACTTTTGTGTGCTATTTGGAACGTGGCAACTCGAACTGATGCACTTCGGTGCCAAGTTCTATGTTGAATCCAGACAGAGACAGACCTCCCCTATATCACCCTTGAACCCACGCCCAACTCGTCGCTCGTTTCTCATTCACCTTCCACTCGAGTGACGGTCTGCATTGAGCATGATGTCATTCGATAGTCCCTTCAGTGGCGTGTGCCTAATCTATCTCCACTTTCTTCTGCATATTTTTTGAGCGATTAGTTCTCGCCTGTTGGTTTTTACACTGCAGAGTATCTTGTAGCTAGCTCTTTCTAGCCAGCAATTCGATCTTTAGTATAGATCTGTTGATAAAGGTCTGCAGTGACCTGTTGGAAATCCGTTTCGTGTGATACACTAAGTTTCCGAGGCATATAGAAGAAATGACCGACTGACTTGACATTTGTGTTGAAAATCCGAACAAAACTTAAACTCTTTTATTTTTGTGTTTTGTTTTAGATGAAATCTATGAAAATATCTAAGTGATTCTATCAAGATTTAAATATTATGGAAACAAATGTAAATGGAAATATTTTATATGCAAATATCATCTATTTCATACTTTACTACACGAATCAAATATCCAAAATTGTCTTTTTATTTCATTTCTTTCTATCGACCTTCAGCGCAGTCTTTTTTAATTTTACCGCTGTCTATCACTTAAACAAATAAATCTGTTATTTATTTGTTTATCTGAATACAAAAACATAAAATGCTTAAAATTATTTATACATGCCGTATAATTTTACCGATCGCAATAAAAGCTGTAATTAGGAAGAATGATTTTTTGAACACTGGGCTAAACTGAATTTGTTTACATCAGTAATTAGATGCAATAATTGCCGTATCTACAACTACGAAAACTTAAACAAAATTGAATACCTCATCATTCTGTAATTCCTTTTAGTATATTTAAAGTTTTATTTTATTCAACTTATTCGTAATAGAAAGTATTTCATGTACATTCATCCTCAGTTTTTGCGTTGAAATAGAGAATAAATAATTTTTATTATTTTACCGATATTAACAATGCTACTGTAAATTATAGTGGCCTAAAATGGAACCACCTGATGAAAACCCTTGACATGTCTCTATCAACTAATCCAAAGTAAGAGCGCGTAATTTGAAAAAAACGTTTATATAGAAGCAATGCAATGTTAAAAATAGTTACATAAGATAACGTTCTTGCATAGGTTCAAAGAAAACCTATTTTCTCAAAGGTGAGTCCTCATAGTTCGGTAAAACTACTTCCTGTACATAAGTTAGTCGAAATAGCCGTAAATCATAGTGTTTGTTGACTAATCCACTTATCGCTCTGATCCTCTTTTTTTGGTGACTCCAGAAAATTTCGTTGGAATTTGTGTGAGTCCTACCAAAAGGATTAACGAGATCGTCGGTTTGAATGACCACAGGGACAACAGTTGGCTTCAGCTATTCCATTGGTCTAAGGCGTACTAAAGGCCAAGTTAAACTCTAAGCACCACTAACTACCAATCAGCAAACGAAGTCAAATTATTCAATGAGATTCGCGAACGTTAGTTCAATGTTGTATAGCGCTTGATTTATTTCCAATGGGTGCTCCAATAAGGTCACGGTTGCGAATCGAGGAGGATAGTGTTCTCCACTATTACCTGGATTTAGGGTTGCTTAGGAAAGAGAGAATTTGTTCGTGTGGTGGTGTCGTAACTTTAAAAAGCTTTAGCAGGTCAACCGATGGATATGTTGTGGAATTTGTTTGAGACGAGTTAGCATAAGAGAAGGTAAGCTGATAGTTTTAATATTTCTTAAGAACTTTTTTGCAAGGTTGCATCTCTCCTTAACGCAAATTTTGTATATTTGCAACTACCGGGTCTTAAAACAGCCAGTGAGAGCCGCAGCTGCTGAAACCAAGAATAGCCTCGTTTCAACAGTTCGGTGGTATCAGCATTGCAGAAACTTTGCATGGTGGTAAATGGAGAAAATTACTTCTTTGTTGATCGGAGAAGACATCGTTTTGCGCGTCAGCGAATCTGTGTTGGTGAAGAAGAAATACAACCGTGGTCGTCAGCGAGTCAACAATATTTGCGTAATTGGCATGTACGACACCCTCGGAAAATGATTTGTGGAAAGAATAGCAGATAGAAAAGCAAATACTCTTATACCTATTATTACAAGACGCAGAACGGAGATCTATAATACATACGGACGAATGGAGAGGTTACAATTCTCTGTCATCTTTGGGATATATTCATCACAGAGTCAACCATTCAAGTAATTTTGTCGATCCTTTTACGAGGACACATACAAATTCTATTGAAGGATTTTGAGGCAGGTTGAAAAACAGGACAAGTGCTATAAGTGGATTTTGTGAATCCAATTACAAAGACACACACGAATTCTATTAAAGGATTTTGGGGAAGATTAAAAAGTAGGATTGGGGCGATAAATGGATCTCAAAAGGATCTCATTTAAGTCATCTCGATGAATATATGTACAGCATGCGGTGTAACTTTTCTACTGACAGTCCGATGCTCATCTGGGAGATATTTCTCTCATATGTTGGGGAAACATACCCCCTGTAACAGTTTTATGCCATTTCTGTACTTTTTCCTTTATAAGTACGCGTTTCCATTTATCATAATTGCCTCTTTAATGTGATTGGTTCGCTCAAGGTCGTTTGCTGATTGGTTGTTAGTGGTGCTGAAAGTTTAACCTGCAGCACTAAAGATGATTCCGGCTATAATATTACAGTGCATCCACGTTTTCACGTTATGTGATGTGCAAATGTTGTACATGGTCAAAAGATGGACAAAGCTTTATTTAGTAGCACAAATGAACACTTGAAAAGATGTATTTTTAACGAAATCGAATTTTGAAATCGCGAAACCGAACAAAAAGTGTGTATTCGAGTAAAAATATATATGTGACCGTCAGTGAAGGTGAACATTGAACGTTTTTTTCCGGAACTGGTAGCCATTGGTGGGCAACTCGAAGGTGCGAATGGTTCTATCGTGTACAAGTTCCTCGACAACGACCAAAAACGAATAGAAACTTTTACTGTTCTCCGCTTCAGTTGCCAAACAATATAACTTCCTCCTTACAATACTGGTATTTTGGAGTTAAAGTCGAGGAAACTTTTATCGGTGCGGAGCGTCTTCGTAACAGTAGGAACTTGGGGATTATAATACTAATATAATACATATTTATTCCTCGACAGTAACAAAGAAAAGTAATTTTCAATAATACAATGGCAAATATTCCACAAGCATATGTAAAATTACTTTCTGTAAGCGTAAAACATGCGTACATGAATTAGTGTTACAAGCATTTAGTTAGGTTTGTTATAGGGGTGCTTCAGGTCTTTGTGAATGGTTGAGTAGCGTGGGACTAAACATAGGATGATACGTAATAAAGCCTTGGAACTGCGATCAGAGAACTTCTGCATGTACCACAGAGTGGTATCATACAATCCCATAACCCGCTGTTGATTAGCACTCCGTCTACCACAACTGTATTTTCTTTTCATAAGCACTGTTTCGTCCACATTTCATTTATTCACTATAGACTGATTCCACAACCCATTTTGGTACAGGTATAGAATTTTCGGCAAGTGATATTGGTAACCCGAATTTGGTTTGTCGACCATTAATATCAGGTGTGTGTCGGCAGTGAATCGAATCTCGGACTGTGTGCATGGTCGGCGAGAGTCCTAACCGCTGTGACACCAACGCACTGAGCAATCATGCTCAAGCCATCAAGCATTTGGGTGATTTTGTTCGATTTCCATAACATTATATCGGCTGGACTTATTCGTCACGTACTCTAGAAGTTACGTTTGGAATTTTTTTTGCCAATAATTTTTAATAAAATTGTATTATATGTTATCTAGATTGAGGGAAATTCCCACTTTTTGGCTGGTTATGTTGGTGTCCGCCTCATGTGATCTGACTGCGACACACTTTTAGCATATTGGTTGCAATGATTAGTGTTTCAGATGGAATGTATCAAAATGTCGGTGTAATGAGGGAGATAGGATAGTTAGAGGGTAATGCCATTTACACCACTCATTTACTCCATGTAGAAGCTGCATCTTTCGGCATAGTATCATTCAATGAAGACTTCATGTCTCAGGATATCAGTACAGCCTATTTTCGTGTGAAGAACAGTCTTTTTTGACAAAATAATTCTCTCAATACTTGGAAATCACCTGCAAATGTTATCAGAATCGTTGGTGGGAACCTAAGTTGTCATTTAGATGTGCTTTTCACTCTATCTGTGGTTGGACAGGAATTATGGTAAGTTGAAAGGTTATCTCTAAATGGATTTCATATATATTGGCACTGGTTGATGCAGTGTGCTATGGGTTATGTTAATTAAATGTACAAAAATATCTCAACTATAATAATATTGTGCCATTGTGTACTAAGCTGACTGATAGGATAACAAACGAAGGTGGTTGTCACGATTATTGCAAGTACAGTGCAGTGGAGAAGGCAATTACTCGTTTAAGTTTCCTTGTTGTTCCAATTAATGCACTAAATCATTACGCGGTATGATTATACGCATGAGTCGTGGTGATTACTAGAACTGAATCTATTCAGCTTTATTATCATCAATATGAATTTATTCTCCTTTACAATTTCCACTGACTGTATACTTAATGCTACAATATTTTTGATCACCAATAGTGGAGATGAATTTCTCCTGAGATTTCCATTTAGACAAAGCAGTACAGATGCTCTATGACGATTGAATTTTCTAGTTTGCATTATATGACATTATTATCCTCATCAACACAACAGGTCTGTGTACTTTAGAATAGTTTAAGTGTTTCACTATGTTGTTAGCACTGTGCATAGCTGTCTAGAGTTGAGGCATGTTCAGCTTATATTTGATGCCTATAGTCTCCTAAATATGAAAATGTGATTTCTGTAGGATTCACAAAACCTTGTGGACTAGACATTACTGAGATTGTGGATTAACTTCTAAGTTATACACTTGCAATACTTCATTTCATGTAAAAGTGTTTAGTGTGAAGTTGATCTGCAAGTAAGCTTGATGAGAGAATGACGCCTCAATAGTATGAATGTTTCGGAGATTGCCTTGAAATTTGCATATAGTCCTCAAATGCAGGAAAACATATGATGTATATTTATGTATACGGCGTCAACATAAATATCAGCTGTAGACTACAAATACATTTATCTCCTTGAGATAATACTTAGTTTTAACAGAATGATTGTATTCATATTGTATGCTAATATGTAGAATTATCTCTTGTTAACTTCATGTTATGCTAGTTCTAACATGTACTTTATTTTTTCCAGGTATACGGAGGTTGTCGAATATGAAATCAGCGGAAACATCATTCGGTCAAACTAACTTTATTACCCTTCATCAGAATTTTCTTTTGTAAATTAATCAAGTGTTTAATATACTCTTGATTACTTCTTCCTGTAGACTTCTTCAATTCCTCGCTATACTCTGTGCTTTTGTAATAAGT